TGCTGTTTCACAGGCACCTGTGCCTCCTTCTAGAAGGTGGGCTGCCCTGGGAACAGCTCTGGAAACTGCTCATGTTTCCTTGTCTCCCAGGGGACTTTAGACCCTGAGAGATCCTGATCACGTCTCCTGCTGGGAAAAATGCGTTACAAAAATAGAAGCGGAGAAGAAAGGTTGAAATCGAACCTCCACACGTAATGACATTATCTACTGGTCAGAGGAGATACACTCTGAGCTATTTTTCCAATAAGTAGAAAAAAAACAAAGCTGCCCTGCAGACCTCCCTTTGGGCATGGCCTCCGAGGCTCCGCCACAGGGCCCAGGGCACCTTCCTGGGGGGGATTGGGGGGTGGTTGACCCCCTTGGTCCACTCCTTTCCTCTCCCCACAGAAAGGGACATGGGTTTGGTCACTTAGCTTTGGAGAGTGCAGAGTACTAAATGGTCTACCAGTGGTCGGCAAACTGCGGCTCGCGAGCCACATGCGGCTCTTTGGCCCCTTGAGCGTGGCTCTTCCTAAGCCTTAGGAGTACCCTAATTAAGTTAATAATAATGTACCTACCTATATAGTTTAAGTTTAAAAAACTTGGCTCTCAAAAGAAATTTCAATCGTTGTACTGTTGATGTTTGGCTCTGTTGACTAATGAGTTTGCCAACCACTGGCTAGGCAGCCAGCTTCGTGGGTGTGTCCTGTGAGGGGCTCACAAGGGCCCTACGCATGGTTACTGCTCTGTGTCACTGTCTTAAAATTATGAATAATTTTTCAGCAAAGGGTCCTGTATTTTAATTTTGCTCTGGACCTTGCAAATGGGAGAGCCGGTCCTGCGTCCAGGCCAGGCTGGGGCAGTCCTGGAGAGGACGGGCTTGGGGAACTTATTCCAACTACAACTGTGGACCCAGGCCCATTTCCACCTTTGAAATCAGGTTTAGAAATACACTTAAAGCCAGACGCCACTCTGTTACAGCCCCCTGGCTGAGTGGACAGGGAAAGCAGCCTCCTTCCAGCTGCTTTGGGGGTCAGATGGTGAAAGCCTGCCCTCGTGTCCTGGGCCTTGAAATGTTCCCTGTGTCCAGGGCCCACCCAAGAGAACAGCGCTTGAGAGGCGGCTGCTCCATCAGCCTTTTTCATAGCCTTTGGGATATCAGTAAAGACAGACAATTCAGAGTTGAATTGAATAATGCTCAGAAGGGAGCAGTCAGAGGCTCGTCCTGTCACCTCCCTGGTCACCTCTGAGGCTGGGACCAAGGGAGGGGTCTCCTTAGGTACTAGTGTGAGGCTGAGCCTTTGCTAAAAGGCCAATAGTCTTACTCCAGGCTCAGGTTGAGAATGGCTGGAGGACCCGTGTAGGCATGCACTGCAGGGCCGGGGAGCAGGACTCCTGGACACACTCTCAGCCCAGGCTGCACAACAGGAGGTTCCAATCATTACAGCTCCCACTCATCAAGCACCTCCTCCGCCAGACCCCATTCAAACATTTTCCCATTTAATGCGCTAACAGCCCTTTAAGGTAGACATCATCCCTGTTTATTCCAGTTGAAGGAATGGGGTCATTCAAGATGAGGATCTCTTTTTGCTCCTTTCTGATCCCAGCTCCCTGGTTAGTGTGGATTCTCCAAGCATGGCACCTGGTGGTTCTGGAGACTTTAATTGATCACAAATAACGAAATTCAAATCCCAAACATGTCCACGTGGACTATATTTAGGGCAGCCTCCATTTCCCCTCCTCCTTCTGGCCTCCCCCACTCCCTCTTCTGCTCCCCCAGCACCGTGTGAAAGCTGATGGCAGATGCTTGTGGCTGGGGGCTGCACCAGGGCCAAGAGGGATGGACTCTGGGCCTCTCTGGGAGGACACACAGTGCCAGCTGCCAGGACAGTGGAAGCACGCTTACAGTGACAAGTCCTCTGACCATCACACAGAGATCCAGGGGGTGCACCCTTCCGCGGCCTGCTTCAGCAGAGGCCCAGTGAGCTCTTGCTGCTGCTCGCAAGTTTCTTGTTGCTAAGGAGCTGGGCCTCACCTGGCCAGCTCCCAGGAGGCTGGGTCCGGGGCCAGCTGGATTCGGGGCCTGCCCTGAAGAGTGTGTCTCTGTCTCCTTGCCCAGGTCAACTTTGACTCATATTTACTTCACTTTGGTGGCTTTGTAATGAACATTTACAAAGATTTGTATGTGGCCCTTGAGAAGAGCTTTTCTACCAGGGCCAGGGAAGTGGGGATTTTCCTGGGGATGTCCTCTGGCTTCAGAGCCTCGAAGAGCGCCTTGCAACTGGCCACTCGATAAATAAACAACCTAATTTAGCGTGGCTCTTGTATAAACCATCTTCCTTCATTCTTTGAACTTTAAAAATATGATGAAACATATGTATAGGAAAAGCCTGAAATGTATATGCATCAACTTAAAGGAAGTTACCAAGCAAGATCTTGTGAATCCAACATCCATGTTAGAAATAGCAATGCTAGTATCTTAGAAGCCTTCCGCACTCCCCCTCTCAAATGCAGTGCCCTCCTTCTCTCAAAGGTCTAACTTTACTGATTTTTATGGTAATTGTCACATTGATTTCCTTAACTACCTTCACTATCTAGCTCCTTTTTAAAATGGAATCAGACTTCATGAATTCTTTGTCAAACTTTCTTCCTTTAACATTAGATGTAAGATTCACCCAAGTTGATAAATGAGACTGTAGTGATTCATTTTTCACTGATGCATCGGTGTGTTAATATACCCTAAGGTATTTCCCAATCCATTCATGATGGACATTGATTTCATCATTTCTAGCTTTCGTGATTTTATGAACATGGCCATGAATATGCTTGCACCCACCTCCCTAGAGAGACATATTTTCAAATGTTTCTTTGAGAACTATTACCTGGGAATAGACTTACTGGATGGTTGGTTCCTACTTCAATTTTACCAGTTAAAAAATATATATATCCTGAGGTTTTGAAAATTTTCTTAAAATTTTAAAAGATATGTTCTCTTGTTATTTTAAAAATAATTTAAAAAATCATTTTCTTGATTTTTAAAAAGTTAAAAGCATGCCTCTCATATAATACAGAAAGAACACATGTCAGAGACTTCTTAACTCGGTAATTAATGAGGGAATGATTAAGATGGTGAAGTTTGGTTCAAAGAAGAATCTGAGGAGTGGAGATTTGCAGGTAGTTGGTCAAAGGAATGCTGAAATAATGTTGCTTGTGGACACAGAACTGGTGAATGTCCCATAGGACATTAACGGTAACTGATACAACTAATCTTGAGGTTATCTTTCCCACTAGTCAGAAATCCACTGGTCAACATGTCTGAGTTCTAATCAAATAGTAAACAGCAAAGTCTAACAGTATATTCTAGATAACTAAATAGCTCTTAGATGAGCTTGTGGAACAAGGACACTACAGGGCAAGTGGTCACTTTCCTGTCTTTCCAAGTTTTGGATTTTTTTTTCTTAACAATACTGTCCTTTGTTTCCAAGTTTGTGGTGAGGATCACATGAGAATATACTGAAATGCTTTGTAGAACTGTAAGGTGCCAAATATAGTTTCATTATTATGGTTGTTTTACGAAGCCCCTTCAATAACCACTGATGTGGGAAGGAAGTTAAGCACTGAATACCCATCCTTTAAACTGTTGTTTTTTATCTCAGTTCTTACAAAAAGACTGAAAAGACAGAATCTGCTTTAGTTTTCCTGTCTGTAAGATTGAGCTAATAGTAGGGTGTACCTCCCTGGGCTTTGTGGGAATCGATGAGTAATACAGACTTACCGCTAAAAACAATGCCTGGTGTACAGTAAATACACAGGAAATACTGCTTCACTAAATACTTACTTTGTTATATCTCCCGAAGTTTAATTTTCTTTAATACCAATGTATTTGATTTTTAGAAGTTCTATTTGATTCTTAGTTCTTTCATAAATCTGCCCTTTTTTTGGGAAAAATAATGGCTTATTCTTGTCTCATGTTTTAAATTCCTCGTCTTTAATCTTTCTAAGCAAATGTATAGTTTGTCTTCAATCCTGTTACGTAACATGTGGGTCTAATCTTGCCATTTGTTTTGTCTACTGATTCTCACAGGGGTTGTATCTTCATTTTTTTTCTAATTAAAAGATTTGCCTGCTGTTGAAACTCCACATATATTCTAGTAAAATAAATGGTAGTTCCTTCCATTAATTTTTAAAATAATAGCTTTTAACTAGAGATGACTGAGTTCGTTAGACCAATCGAAACAGAGGAACTCATGGTGCCATCCTAGCCTTGTGAAGACAATGTCCTCTTTTTTTAGACTTTTATTTTGTACCGTGTTTATCTGCAATTTGGCCCAATTCACTGCTGGAATCGTCTGCTTTATGCTTTGGGATTTTCCCCTTCCCTGGACACTAGTTTTCATTTCGATGAATGTCCCATTATGTAATGAAAGTATAACTCGGGGCCAGTTACCTCTCCTCTGAGTCTTGGTTTTCTTCTCTGTAAAAAGGAGATGATGACAGGGATGTAGAAATTTTAATTATTGTGCACCATGGGGCCTATCATAGTGTAAGCCCTCTGTCAACTCTTATTGGTATTATTTTTCTTTGTACCTGTCTTGCAAAAGTGATAAGATGATGACCCTTCACGAGAGAAGGCAGGCATTCTTCATCCATCCATTATCGCTCCATTCCCACACCTGTCTCCAGACCGCTCCACTTCCCCTGCAGTCTGAACACTATCTCAACTCCCCACAGAGGAGAAAAGAACTCATTTCCAGGTGTGCAGTATTTTAGAGCATTTTTACATGCGTTTCTTGTTTCCCAGCAGTGCTGTGAGGCAGGCAAAATGGGTTCTCTGAGTCCACTTTTATAGACGAATCTGAGAGACTGGGGCTCAGGCTGCTGATGGGGTGTGCTCTATAGGCCACACATTCAAATGGTATAACTGAGGTTCTAACTCACATTCTCTGTCATCCCATGCTATGTGATCGGAGATATATGGAGATATACTTAGAATGCAGATGATAACGGATTCATTTTGTTTGCTTTTTATTGAGGTGAAATTCACAGGATTTACAATTAACCATTTTAAAGGGAATAAGTCAGTAGCATTTAGTGCATTCACCATGCTGCGCAACCATCATTCCTAGTTTCAAAACTTTTCATCATCCTCTCCCTGGCTTTTTGTGCAAAATCAAAGGAATAATCTTGGAAAGACATCCAGCTCAGGGCTTGCCCTGGTAGGGGCCTGTGTTGTCAGACTCTTCAGCTCTCCCTCAGCAACCTGGGAATGTAGAAAGAGGACATCATTCCGAAATTTAGTCCCTTGAGAAAACCAGGTTGAGGATATGTAAGGTATTCATGTCCTAATCCTTTAATTTTTTAAAATGGCATTTCAAAATTGCCCTTTTTCAGGAAACTTTCCCCAAGGAACTCTCCTAGTCTTGAGAGCAATCGGATGCGTTTACCCGTCAACGCTGCAGCGCTGAATTGCACTGTCTCAGAGCTTCTTGTCTCTTGAAGGAGTTTGTCTCCTTGGCCAGGAACCTCACAGCCTTGGAGGTAGCACAGGGCTCTATGTTTTCCTGGGTACAAAACAGGTGCGCGGCACGTATGTGTTGGACTGTAATGGATGGTGGCCAGGCAGCTCCTGAACTCTAGCCAGCATCCGGTGACCAATGTCCTTCCCACACTCTAAGTAGTGGGTTTGGGGACTGAGGAGCTGCTCCCCCAGTGCTGGCTGGAGCCCGATAGGGGTCGGTCTGGTTGGGGTTGGCCATCACTTGGGAAGCTCTGGCTGAGATGACAGGAAAGGCTCTAGCTCCCACACCTGCATCACATGACAGATGGAAGGCAAGAGCTTCAAGCAGGTTAACCCAAGAACAGAATGGCTTTGGCCTTCATTTAAATTTGCCCATTCCAGGAGCATAGGCCCTAGGGCTCAGTAAGTCAGGAAGGTCCTCTTGGCTTCTTACGTCACCAGGTGTGGAAGCAAGTGCGCTCTGTGGCGGCTGAGGTAGAGGGCTGGGGAGGAGTGTGTGGCTGGGGCTTCTAGAATGAGCATCCACGCAGCCGGTGGGCCTACAATCTCACAGTGTCCAGGCTTATTGGAGGATTTTCCTCCTGGCGGCTTCTCATGGCTCTCCATGCCATCACCACGCCGACGCCAACTGCAAGGCCACCTCCTGCCGCCACTGGCACGGCCCAGGGGAGCACGTTGGGGCCTTCTTCAGCCTGGTTTTTGAGTAGCTGACTATTCCTCAGGGTGTGGAGGTAAGGGCTCTCCTGCGGAGGAGGAGAGGGTCAGGGGTTGGGGCCTCTGAAAACCATCCAGCTGCCCACCTTGGGCTCTCTGGGTCCCGTGCCGGAGAGGCTACCACAGCCTTGCACATATCCCCAGCTCATGGTCTGCAAAGCTCCTCCATCTCACTGTGCCCAGGTCTCCTGCAGGAGGGTGTCCAAAGTGGGTAACACCCAGCTACAACCTCCTGTGTGTCTCACCAGCATCTCCTTTCCTGTCCACCCGATTGTGAAAGATTGGGAACCGACAGGTGACCAATGAAAGTCTTGGGGGAGACCCCAACTCTTTCTTTTAAGCCACTACTGGACAACTATTCCCATCCTCCCCTCCAGGGGTGCTGGGGGAGCAGAGAAGGTCAGTGTGGAAGGACAGCTGGTTCTGCAGTCGATTGGAGAACCAGAATGAGAGGGGACAGGAGAGGAGGCGCTTGGGCCTGCCTCCCTGGGTCCCTCCTCCCTTTCGGCGAACACGAACTGAGTGCCTGTTGCGGGAGCCATGTGCTGGGGGAGCTGTGAGAGTGCCCGAGGGCTAAGATGTGACTTCTCTCATTGCCCAGGTAGGAGACAAGACATATTGAGAAGCGATCACATCACGAAGGAGCCTTTCAGTGTCTTAGGAGCAGTGTAAACAGAAGAGAGGCCAAGGCAGGTGCAGGGACAGTAGCCCAGACAGGGCCTGAAGGATGTGGAGATTTTCATAGGCTGAGATGGCGGATGTGCCTCCAGAGGAGCAGGTGGCAGGAGTGAAAGCGCAGACAGGGCAATCGTGGGGCTCGTCTGGGAACTGCTCCACTTTCAGGAGCAGAGAGTGTCTAAGGCAGTGGTTCTCAACCTTCCCAATGCCGCGACCCTTTAACACAGTTCCTCATCTTGTGGTGACCCCCAATTTCATTGTTACAAATTGAACATAATTAAAGCATAGTGATTAATCACAAAAACAATATGTAATTATATATGTGTTTTCCGATGGTCTTAGGCGACCCCTGTGAAAGGGTCGTTTGACCCCCAAAGGGGTTGTGACCCACAGGTTGAGAACCGCTGGTCTAAGGCTACAGAACAGACAATGCTAAGGTGACTTTCTTTCATGGACAGTTTCATGGAGGGAAAGGTTTCAAGCAGTCTTGACAATACTGGCCGGCTGGTGTCTGGCAGTGACTATGGGATGGATGGAGAGGGGAGAGAGGAGAGCTGGGGAGCAAGTTCGGGACTTTGCCAGTGGTCCAGGTAAAGGCAGTAAGGGCCTGGAAAAGGCCGTGGTGGAAAGGGAGGAGGTGGATTGCAGGCTCCCAGAACAGACGCGGTGTCTTATTCCTCTTTGCCTCCCAACCCCCCAGCTCTGGCTTGCCTGGCTTGGGAGAGCTCCTCCACCTGGTTTAAGACAGAGCATGACTCAGACCCCTCAGGGTAGAGGGTGACTCAAGCTTCTGCCAGTCCTGCCTGCCTCCCCTGAGTGCCTCTTCCCACTTCAGTCGGGACCTCTTGCTTTCTCCCGCCCCTCACCCATGGCTGCCCGCACTCTGAGGAGCTGCAAGGTGTCTGGGGCAATGCGGAGAGGCAAGATGTGAGAATGGTGGCAGTGAATGAAGTGCACGATGCCAAAGCCTCCCAGGGGATTTGTGTGTCTCCCGGTGGCTATCTTGCCCCCACCCCCACCCCAGACACCTGTCCCATGCTAGACAGGTGGGACCTTTACTCACAGGAGAGGGACACTTGAGTTTGGTTCGGCTGTAGGTGAAGTTGTTGGAGGTCGTCTTACGGCCCACTGGTTCCAGCTGATGAGAGAAAGGAAATCCTGATTCCTCCGAAGCTGGGAGACCACTCTGTCGGGAGGGGTCTCTCACACCAGACTCCTTCTCTTTGCAAAACTGAAACCAGCTAAGAAGCAAGACCCACAGCAGATACCAGCAGCCCCGGGGCCAGAGCTGGACCTGACTCTCCCTCACAGAGTGACAGGCCCACCAGAGCAGGGTGGGCCCCCGAGTCTGTGTCCTGGATTTACTGAGGCCCAAGAGAGACTGACCGGTCCAGAGGCCACATTGAGTGGAAGTCAGGGCCCAGCACCCCATTTCCTGCTTCCCTTGTGGGTGGCTGTGATCGCAGACATTCTGCATTTTCAATTTACAAAATGGTGATCATCGTATTTACCAACTTCTTTAAGTGTGTGGGGCTAGTCCACTTCAGGAAAACTTGGAAAACACATTGGTTACCATGACACCATTACTATACTCGGCTTGTCAACCTTAAGAAATTAGGTTTTCTCACTTGAGCATCTTTGTATGTTTTCTTCATGGATAAAAAGGTTTACTCACAACATTTCTGGGAGCAGCTGTGGTTCAGAAAGGTTCTCCTGGATACTTTTGACCCTGGGACCCTCTGAGGATGAGCTGCAAGCTGCTGGACCTCTTCCTCTCAGGACCTTCAGCCAGTGGCCTGCTCCCTGACATGTAGCCAGTCCCAAGAAGGATGAACACCTATTCAAACTGTCCTGAACTTGTGGCCTCCACCATCTGATCATCTGTCCCTGCCTGTTCCTGACCTCAGCAGCTCCTGACTCCAGGTATTGCCTATGAGGTAAGTGGAAGTACTCTGTGCCAGCTAATGACCACACCTGGCTCATGGTCTTGTTTTTTTTGTTGAGTTAAAGCCTTTATACCTGTTCCTTAGCAACACAGTTCGAGGAGGAAGGGCTGCCCTGGCGCCCGCATGGCGACTGGACAGAGCACAGCAGGGTCATCCGCTGGGGTCCTGGCTCTGCTGATAACGGCCTGTAGGAGGCTAGGCTGGCTCCTGAACTGTCCCAAGGTTAGGGGCAGGGCATTAAACCCTGTCCTGACAACTCCACATTGGGTTGTTGTGAGCATCAAACGAGAAGATGAAATGAAAGCCCATGTGAACAGGAGGCGACTTACATATATAAGAGAGTATTATTTCTACTTAGCGCTACTGTAACGGAACCACCTGGAGAGACGAATGCTGAAGGCCAGGTTGGATGATTCCCAATGATGTCCCAGGGACCCAGGAACTAAGTGGTGCAGAGGAAGGTAGTGATGATTTGGGTTTGGTGATTGAGTTTCTCCCTTTTTACTGGTTCCCTGCTATCAGAGCACAAACTATTCTGTCTCCCATCATTTAACTGCCCTCCCCTCGATCCCACATCCCCTCCAGCGACCTTTGCCATTACTTCTCATAACTCTAGGGAGAGTTGTTTGTAATCACTGGCTGTACGTCCTGGTCTCCCCTTTTCTCTGACACCCATTCCAATGGGTCTCCAGTCTCCTCATTGGCTGAAGCTCTGTCAGAGTCACCGATGGCCTTTACATTGCCAGGTCCAATGGTCACCTTTTTGTGTGTGTCTTTGTCTTGTTTGACTTTTCAGCAGCATTTGTCAAAGTTGATACCTCCCTTTCAGGCCACTCACTTCTCTGGCTCCCTGGAGATCATGCTCTACTTGTTTCCTTCCCCCTCCCCCCCTCCTCATCTTCCTCTATTGCTGGTATCAAAGGTTGGAATGAATGTCCTAGGGCCGTGGTCGGCAAACTGCGGCTCGGCTCGAGAGCCACATGCGGCTCTTTGGCCCCTTGAGTGTGGCTCTTCCTAAGCCTTAGGAGTACCTTAATTAAGTTAATAACAATGTACCTACCTATATAAGTTTAAAAAATTTGGCTCTCAAAAGAAATTTCAATCGTTGTACTGTTGATATTTGGCTCTGTTGACTAATGAGTTTGCCGACCACTGTCCTAGGGCTTAACAGTTGGTCCTATACTCTTTCCCACCTATTCTTTCTCTAGGGCTCTCAGTTAAACCTGTGGTTTTGAATACCACCTCTATGCTAATGACACGCACATTCCCCCCACTAAATCTCCATCCTTGACCAACTCTCTGAGCTCCAGACTCAGATATTTAACAGCTTACCTGATAACACCAGGTGAGTATCTGGAAGGCATCTCTAACTTACCACGTCCAACAAAGACCTTGGAGTTCTCCCTCCCAAGCCTTCTTTCTTCTACCACCTCAACCATCCACTCAATCTCCTTCACCTCAAACTAAGGAGTCATCCTTTATTCCTCTTTTTCCTCATCCATCAGTCAGTCTAAAACACTCTCTCCTCCTCCATGCTACCACCCTGATTCCAGCCAGCTTCATCTCCCACCGGGACTCCAGCAGCCCCTTAATGGTCTTTCCAATTCCACGCTTGCTTCCTGCTAGTCCATCGCTACTCAACAGCCAGAGGGTAAATGGGTTCATACAGCTGGAGAGCCATCCAAGGACCAGGCCCTGCTCACCTCTCTCACCCTGCTCCCTCCCTCCAGTCACACTGGCCTTTATGTTCTCAGAAGCTTCAAGCTCATCCCTGACTCCAGGCCCGCACAGGTCCTACCTCCTCTGCCTGGAGCAGTTTGGCCCAGCCCTCTGCATGCCTGGCAGCCTCTCTCAGTTCACAGGCCACCTCTTCAGTGAGGCCTGCTTCTCACCCACCATTACTCTCTCTCATAGTTCCCTGCTTTATTTTTTTAAGCCCTGAATGTGGTCAGAAATTACCTTGTTCGTTTGTTTGTTATTTGTCTGTTCCCAACTAGACTGTAGGCTCCATGAGCACAGGGCCATTCTTTCTTTTTGATTGCTGCGTCCCCAGCACGTGGAGCAGTGCCCACCACATAGTGGTGCCCAATAACTGGTGGTTGAGCGAGTGGGTGGGTGGAGCAGAGATTGGAGTGGAGAAGTGCAGGGGCAGGAGGCCTGGGGCTGGCCACACAAACGGGGCTGTTTTTCCTAGAACCCATCTTTCTGAAGCCATATGCACCGATGAAGAGCCAAATGACTGGTCGGGGCCAGGGTACAGTGGGGTCGGGGGGCCTCTAGACTGCTCTGGGGATTCAGAGAAGGCTTCCTGTGGGAGCTGGCACCGGAATTGAGTGGTGAGGTGGGTAAGAAGCAGGTTGGAAGGGCAGTCCGGGTAAGGGGTGAGTGACAGCAGACACTCAGAGGCAGAGACAGCATGGGCAGTGCAGGAAACTTCACTCCTTATTAGATTGCCAAGTGCAAATCTGAGGGTGGAGCAGCTGCCAGATAGGTTGATTGGGGTCAGGTCCCAGAAGGCCCGGTGTCTGGTGCTAAGGGGCCTGGCCTCTTCTTTGGGGAGGGTGGGCCTTGGGAATTTGAAAGCAGGGTGTGTGGCTTGGTCAGAATTTCATTTCTGCAGACTACTGTGGTGAATACATCTCAGGCAGTGGTTTGCAAACCCTGTATAATAATGCCACCTGGGGAGCTTTTAAAATATACTAAACCCAGGTGCTATCCAAGACTAAGTCAAAATTTCTGGGGATGAGGCCCAGAAATTTTTGTTTTATTTTAAAGCAATTTTTTCAATGAGGCTAACACACATATAGAAACAAGTACAAATCATAAGCGAGCAGCTGATAAATTGTGAAGAAGTGAACATACCCACGTAAACAGCATCCAGCTTAAGGAACAGAATTATTACCAGAACCCTGGGCCCCTCTGCCACCCTCTTCCTGTATAATTCACCCCCAATAAGACCATATATTGATTTGCTTGTTGAAGTTTGACTAGCGCTGCTGGGAAAAGTCTGCGTGCATCTGTGGTGGACCCATGCGTGCCTTCCTGATGGACATATACCCAGGGGTGGAACTGTTGGGTCACAGGGAATCCATATGTGCAAAGTGGTTGTAGGCAAACATTGTGTTTAAAGTCTCCAGATGATTCTACTCTGCAGCCAGAGCTGAGAATTGCCGTTTTAAGGGCTGTAAGCCTGGAGACAGGGATTCCATCATGAGGCTAGGCTGTCCCCCAGCGCCTGGGGAGATGCACATAGTAGCTGACGGGGGTTGGGGGGTGGGGAGTGGGGGGGAAGGGGGGATTTCAACACTGCTGGCTAGGCATCAGAAAAAAATAAGGAGAAACTTTATAAGAAGACAAAAGAATAAAAAGGAGGATAAAAACACTTCCTGCTATTGCTAATATTTCTGGCTTTGCAAACGTCTCTGGAAGAAGCCTGTTAAGAGAGGAGGGGTAGGAAATGAAGAGTCTAAAGTGTGTTTGCTGCACAGTAGGGTACCCTGGGATCACCGGCCAAAGCCTGCAGACACTATGTCATAGGACTCTAATTATGAGACATGAATTCACTGGGTACATATGAGCTTATCTGGCTGGGAGCGGGAAGGCCAAGTGGTGCTGTGTCCAGAACACTAGGCAACTAGACCTGGGTTTCAACCCCTGCTCTGCCACTAACTGGCTGTGTGATCCTGGGCAAATTGCTTCACGTCTCTGTGTTTTAGTGATAGAGCATTCTGGCCAGATGACCTCTACGAGCCTGTTATTTATTTTATGTCACTCTAGGGGTGAAATTCCAGTAAGAAAATACTCTGAAAAGTTGGTGTGATGCAATAGCTTTATATCTGAGATGGCTTTGGATGAAAACACTGGACTATATAATTATTTCCCAAAATTATATAGCAAAGGATGAGATATTCTTAGATGATTTTAGTCCAGCTTTACTTTGTTGTTTTTTAAATTCAAAGTATGGCTGGGACAATGATGGGAGGGGAGCCAAGGGCAGTCTTGTATCTTATCTATATGGCTCCACGGCAGTGCGTACCTTTTGTTTTCAGATCTAAACCCCTCCCAGTTGCCTTTATGTATAAAAACCTCTCACCTGGGTGAATGGGGAGAACTGCTTTGGAAGAGGCCAGAACTACACCCTTAATTCATGCAGAGAGACCAATGGGCCCTGTCATTCTTGAGTCATCAAGCCCCAGGAGACTCCTGGCATTAGGCAGGCTCAGAACGCCACCAGGAAATGCTGGGAAGGAAAGGCTAAGGGCTTAGCATTCTGTGCCCTTCTTGGAATCCCCTGAGATCTCAGGGGGATAAATAGGATCCTGCATAGAAACCCATTCTTGGGGGCGGGGGGTTGTTAAAAGGAATGAAGTCACATGACTCAGCCACTGAAGGACAACTGGACTTTGATTCATTTCTTTCATAGATTTTTGTTTTAGACTGTACAAACTTGGATTAAAACAATTACCGTGTGGAGGTTGAGTGGGAAGGAACCAAAAGATGTTTTGGCTGAAATTCAAAGTCCTGGGCTGAGAGTATGATGAAAGATTTAGGAGTGGGCAGAATATGATGTCAACAGATAGAAAACAAAAGTAGAGGAAGGCTGAGTCTGCAATGAAGTAGGCCAAGGATAAAACCGGCTTTCATGCTGTTCTGAGGAGACGAGATGGTGTAGCTAAGGGAAAAGTCAATATTGTGAGTCAGCCAAGTGAGATACTGGACCTATTGGGTGAGTTGACAGGTGTGGGAATATTTGCACAGCGGTGGTTGGCAGGGACACAGCGGGCCTAAACGGCAGTAAAAGGAGCAGGAGTGCAGTCTGTTTAGTCACCATGGGAGAAACGAGGGAACATGCACGTGGGGGTGGAGATTGGGTTACCCACTGAGTTTAAAGCAAAAGAAGCCAGAGGATTGGAAAGGCATTTCATTGCTCTGTGCAAATCTAGCTGCTTGTCCAGTAGTGAGTAGCCAGCCATACAGGGCAGGGGCAAGGCCAGGGGTTCCTGTGGCCCCTGGGCTGGATGCTCATTGTATAAGGTCCCCTTTACCACCTTAAGAAAGGATGGGAATAGGTGGCAACCTGGGAAAACAGACTGGGTGGCTCTTTTCTTTTTGCTGTTTAAAGAAATAAGAGTTGGGAATGTGTTGAGACTGGAGTGATGGGGCTGACATTGGTTGAATGTTAATTATCGTGCTGAGTGCTGTTCTCACATCACCTCCAATTTCTGAGATCGGTGTCATTTTCATTGTTTTTACAGATGATGATACAGATGGCCAGAGAGAGAGAGAGAGAGAGAGAGAGATCATTTGCCCAAGGTCACACGGTAAGGGCTTGAAACCGTTGTTTTTATCTAGTCTACCTGATTACAAAGTTATCCCCCCACAGTGCGAGGGCATTACTGAAAGAACCAGATCTGTCAGGACAAATACGTGTGCTACCCTATGAGCTTTGGGGAGAAAGGTGCTATGGCAGCCAGTAGGCGTCTGTTGTCGACATCCTGGGTGGCCCTCTTTGACGGAGCCCGCTAGGCCCAGGCACTCACCATGTTGTTCCAGAGCGCAATGGCCATCTCGGCATGCCCGCGTTCTGAGAAGTGGAAACAGTCTTCGGAGAAGAAGGTGAGGTCAGCTCCTCCTCGCTGTGACCAAAGGCAAGGGCATTATCTTCCTGGGACAAGGGCACCGCTACCCGCCCCCACCCACCTCGCAGGCGGCCGGGGCATGTCTCCTTTCATTCTTTCAACTCTGCTGATAACTGGCTCAGATATTGATGAAGAAATTCCCCAATTTTTAAATTTTTATTTTTTTAAACAGACATGCATGATAGCCACCCACAGTCCATCCTTTTCCTTGAGCATCCCTGGCCTAATGGTTGACAAAGAATAACATCTTTAGGAAGATTTCCATTCTGTCCCAATCCAGCAAATAGCAGGGCCAGGCCTCAGGCGCTTGGTCAATGTTGAGTTTCTCCTTTTCTTTCCAAATGAATCTAGGTTCTAATCAGACTCAAAAAAAGGTGAAGGGGAAGCAGAAAAACCCACGTAGAGAAGAAAATACACCGTCTAAGACAGTGGTTCTCAACCTTCTGGCCCTTTAAATACAGTTCCTCATGTTGTGACCCAACCATAAAACTATTTTCATTACTACTTCATAACTGTAATGTTGCTACTGTTATGAATTGTAATGTAAATATCTGATATGCAGGATGGTCTTAGGCGACCCCTGTGAAAGGGTCGTTTGACCACCAAAGTGGTCGCGACCCACAGGTTGAGAACCGCTGGTCTAAGATATGGCCCCACACATGTGCCTCCTAGAAATGCCTGCAGCTTACCTCGTTCAGGGGGACAAGGGTGTTTTGGAAGAAAGGCTGCACGACCACCGTGAAGTCCTCACGCTGCAGGTACTGGTGCCAGTAGGAGAACCTGGAGACACCACTCTGAGGACGAGAGAGGCTGCTCAACCCTCCTGGCCTGGACAGACAGGTTCTAGCCTTGGGCTGGTCATGATGGAGGCCAACCCACCTTAGGCAAAGGGGACTTAAAGGGGCTGCTCTAGGGTGCAGGCAGGAGTACCACCCAATTCTACCCTGAAGTTTCTGCAAGGCTGGGTCTGAGCTGCTGGCCAGACTGCTTGGGCCAAAGGCCTCCCCTGTTCACACTGCATGAAGAGGTGAATCATAACATGGGCTCCAGTCCAATGCCAGCTCCCGCAAATGCTTGTGAACTTAGGGGATGAGTGTCCATAGTTTTTGGATTTAAAAACTATGGACTCTAAAAGAAACTAGATATGCTCATTCTTAAGGAGCTTATAATCCAACTGGGAAAATGAGACAAGATGTAAAAAAACCATGAGCAGCAGGTAGGGTCAGTGAAGTGCAGGCTGCAGTTGATGTGGGGTGATATCTGAGGGTGAAGTTGCTCATGGGAAGCAGCTTAGAAGAGGTGAGATGACATGCCCTGTGCATGAGATGGGTAAGTTGCAGAAAAGCTCAGAGTGGCCATGTCAATGGAGGGGACAGTAAGTTGGGTGGGGCTAAGCCTTCTGTTCTTAAGAAGGGAGAAAGACCAACAGGCAGTAAATGCTCTCCTCCTGAGGGACGGAGTTGGGTAAAGATTGCCATCACATGACATCTACTCTGGGAGCCCAGTGCTGCTCCACCCTCAGGGCTGACCCAGGGCTGGGAGGTAGGAGTTCTCTCAGCTTCCCTTCTGAGATTTCTCACCCCCGCCCCCCCAGCCTTACTGTTTGATCCACCTGGATAAATATTTCAGGGGCTGTGACCTGCCTATAGGGAGCACTTGCTTTCAGGAAAGCCCTGCTGAACACATGACTTTGGATCCTTGCTCTGGAGTAAAGGCGCCTCTCACCTGGGGTAGGAAGAGAAGGGGTGCAGATCTACCTGAAAATTCCAGTTCACTTTCTTAAAGTTCCAGTTCACCTTCTTCAGTTCTTGCATCTCTGGGGAGTTCTCCTGGAAGCGTCTGAAGCAAGTGCAGTTGCTCCTATAAGGCAAGGAGTCCTATGGAGAAGCTCCCTGGGGGCAGCCTGGCTCTGGGCCCCTGGGAGGCTGACTCCCACCCAGAGGAAGCTGCTGCCCACAGGGAAGGTGATGACACGCAGGTGCCTCCACAACACATGAGGTGCTGACTCATGGACCCAGGTCACAGAACAGAACCTCAAGGTCCAGCAGGTACTTGTTGAGAGAGAAGGTGGAAGAGTTGGCACCTGATGCCTGGGTCTCCGTGTGGACAGGCCACCCATTCCCCATGCCACCTGGCTGCTCCTTCCCAAGTTTGTGGCTTCTGTGGTTTGTCCAGAGAATGACCAGGTAGGGAGCGGGATGCAGTTGGGTGAAGACGGCCATGATGGCCCAGTCCCTCTCCTTTATGTTCCTGAGGCCTCCCTTCTCTGTCTCCAGCTGCTTGGGACTCTCCCTCAGAGCTCCAGAGTGGGGAGTCTCTTGAGAAGCTAGGGCGGGTCAGTCAGCTTGAGATGCCTTGGCAAGGTGGAATGTGAGACCGCCTTGCTGGAGGAGCCCGCCATACCTCCAGCTGTTGGCCACTCCACCCGGGGGGCTAGGTTCCTATCAATAATGGAACTAGCTTGTCATCTTCCCACCAAATCCATTTGACCCCAGATAGGACCCTTCAACCCCCTACAGAATCTCCTCCCCATAGCAAAACTCTGGGAGACCCTCTGGCCTCAGAAGATGGCAACTCCCTGCCAGGGTAACAGCTGGGCTTTAAATAAATTCTAGCCCCCAACAGAAATTCTCATCTTGCAGTGGCTTCAAGGACAGTCATCTGAAGGCATTATAAAACCTACTGTTTCCTGAGAGCCTGCCCCACTGGGGCCAAGTACTTGACATGCATTGCCTCTAGACTTCCCATCTACTTTGCAAGGAAATTTTACAGGTGAGAAGTAGAAAGCACAGAGAGGGTGAGGTGGTTTGGGCAAGCTCCCACAGGTCCTAAATGGCAGAGCCAGGATCTGAGGCCAGGTATAGCTCATGGCCCTCTGCTGCCTCTCAAACACAGCAACTCGCTGGAGCTGGAGTTTGGAATTGTTGGCAATTCAGGAGGCTTTAAGGATCATTTGGTCTGTCTGTCTCACTTTACAGAAAAGCAAACTGAGGTAGGTCCTGAGAAAGGAACTGACATGTATACAGTCGGCATTCAATACTGTAGAGGCCTTTCCAAGTGATTTTGCAAGTTCCTGGCTAGTTGCCCACTAGATAGGACTGTCTTCTCTGTGCAATGGTCTCACTGTTGGCATTTGTGAGCTCTGCTCCCCAGGGTGCCCTCACCCTGGGACCGGGACCGGGTACTTACTGAGCTGCCAGTGGCATGTCACATTTCCCGCCTTGGCCCTGGTGTAGGCTGCTCAGCTCCATGACCTCCACCACATTGACAAAAGCCCTTGGAAGCTGTGGGAGCAGAGGGATGGGTTTCGTTAGTCACCAGGCAGTTGGTTTGGGGGGGGGGGAGGTGGGATGGGCAGGGCACTGATGATTACTGGAATGAGCCTAAGGCAGTGGTTCTCAACCTTCCTAATGCCGCGACCCTTTAATACAGTTCCTCATGTTGTGGTGACCCCCAACCATAAATTATTTTTGTTGCTACTTCATAACTGTAATTTTGCTACTGTTATGAATCATAATGTAAATATCTGATATGCAGGGTGTATTTTCATTGTTACAAATTGAACATAATTAAAGCATAGTGATGAATCACAAAACAATATGTAATTATATATGTGTTTTCTGATGGTCTTAGGCGACCCCTGTGAAAGGGTCGTTCGACCCCCAAAGGGGTCGCGACCCACAGGTTGAGAACCGCTGGCCTAAGGGATCATCTACAAGCCGACTTCCCCCCTCCCCACTTTTACCAGTAAAGAAACAGCCTCAGAGAGGAAATATGACTCGTATTAATCTCAGTGAACCTCCTCTATCGGCCCCACTTTCTACATTGAGAAACTGAGATCCAGAGAAGTCACATTGCTGGTAAGCCACACCACCTGGCTGCAACAAGGCCAACGGGCTTCAGAGGCAAGCTCTTTGCCACCAGCAATGCAGTCTGATCCGGTCAGAATGGCCCCGCAGAAGAGCCGGCGGCTGCCTCTCCCATGCCACCCAGCGTCCTGGTGCCTGCTCACAGTGGGGTTCTGCTCAGCATGCATCTCCCCCAACAGAACAAACTTGCCTACATGCACCTGGGAGCGGCCCCAGGGAGCGAGCAGGCAGGAGGTTACCAGCAGGAAAGGGGGCCCAGGATGTGCTGCTGCTCTGTCCTACCTCATAGAGGATGTCCAGGGCCTGTTGGATGTGCCGAACGTATTCCCTGGCTGAGTGGGCCTCCTGTGAAGAAAGAAGGGCTCTCCTCAGCCCTGGGCGCTCCTCAGAGGAGGAGAGTGGTCTGTTCCCAGCTGAGAGGGCCCTGGGCGCCCGGGATGGTGGCAGAGTGGATTTGCACAGGGGCTTGGATGGCACTGGACTGGCTAGAAGCCCAGCCCTCATTGCTGGTGGACAGGGTCTCTATTAGACACCATGAATCATCCCCACCGCACCCCACTCTGTGGCATCTCAAGCCCACAGGCAGCCCCTGGCAGTGCTGGGCCTGCTACTCCTCCAGACCTTTCCGTCACTGGCCTCATTCTTCTCCAACCATATGGCCATGCTGGCCCCATGCGCTCCCCCCTAACTCCTACGGTCCTTTGCGGGCTCCTCTGACCCATCTTCCGACTGAAGCTGGTTAAGCCCCTTCCTAGTTAGTCCTGTGGGGTGGCAGTCAGGTCCTTTTCACAAAAATACTCTCAGTATAAACCTGCTTACACAAGGGACAGGCATTCTGGGGCTAGTGGAGGCATTTTCCTGTCCCAAGTCCCCACAGGTGGCTCTGAGGTCACTTCTGGCTTCCTGGACCCTGTTGAGTCCAAGATGCAGTGACATTTCAATCCTCCTGGGGCGGTGTCACTGCCTCCAGGGTCTGCGCAGTCAGGCAGCGAAAGGGGGGGGGGCTGGAAGAGCGAGCCCCGTGTGGGGGAAGGAATTCTCATGCAGCTCCGGTGGTGTCTCTGAGCCACAAGGAATGATGAATGCCTTCTCCCCCCGCCTGTGCCTGTCAAACATTCTACCACAACCTCTGAGTAATGGCAGCTGTCTTTTTCTGGCCAAATAAAATACAGGATGTCCTCAACTTAGAACAAGATGTATTCCACAAGTTACAACTTCCCAAGGTTTGTAAGTCTGGACCCGTTTCCGCACAGAAACAACGTTAGGCACAGGGGTGGTTCCCAGGCCGGCAGGCTGAGGTTGGTTAACTCATGATGTCCCTGAAGTGCAGCAAGCCTTCCTATCGGGACGGGTTCAGTTTCAGCCAGCCCAGGTATGACATGGTTTCAGCTCCCCTGCACCCCCTCCACCCCCACGAAAAACACCAACAAACAGGGCAGAGACTGCAAGCAGGTGGGGGGTGGGTCTCACAAGTTACCCACTGGCTACCAGAAATCAGTGTGTGTGCATTACAGCGGCCACCCCATCAGCAGTGCCCAGCATGGGTGCTTCTAGACTCTTCTGGAATCAGACCAATGAAGCTGGTCTCCAAGGGGCCTCCCGCAGTGGGAAATGCCAGGCCTCATGGGGCATGTATGAGCCAGGGCTGCCTGGGTGGACTCAGGTGCCTGGAGAGCAGGCAAGGTGACTCCCATGAGGGCGCTCAGGGCCCCGGGCACAATAACGGCACTGGTCAGCATCTCCCTCCCCTGGTCCCCAAGGGGCGGGTCAGGGGCCTACCGGATTCTCGCAGTAATGACACAAGTCGTTGCTCCCAATGAAGAGAGTGATCAGCTTCCAGTCTTTCTCCAGATTGATTTCCTGAGGGGACAGAGTTCCTAGGTTTAGGGCTTTGTGGGGGGCACATTCAGGAGGTGCTTCCCTGGCCAGACTGCCCCCAAGTGTCCCTCACTCTCTCTGTCTCACAGTGGAGAGACGATGCCCCACCCTCACCATGATGCTGGAGCAGGGAGCTCCTGAGAGAGAGAGAGAGAGAGAGAGAGAGAGAGAGAGAGAGAGAGAAAGAGAAAGAGAATGAGAATGAATGAACATACAGGTGTACACATGTATCTTCTGCTCACACACTGCAGGAGACTATTTCCCTTTGAAATCCTCCTTAGAAAGCTGCAGTCCCGTGTGCAGTGGAGTGCATTAAGGACTTCTGAGGAGCCAGGGCAAAAGATGTAGCCAGAAGCAAAAACCCAGAGCTGCCTCTTGGGAGGGCTCTTCAGGTGTGGGAGCAGGGGGTAGACCAGGTGTGGGAGCAGGAAGTACACCAGGTGTGGGAGCAGGGGGTAGACCAGGTGTGGGAGCAGGGGGTAGACCAGGTGTGGGAGCAGGGGGTAGACCAGGTGTGGGAGCAGGGGGTAGACCAAGGTGGGGCCTGGAGAGGAGGCCATGTGAGGACTCAGAGTGGGGGCTGAGAGGCCCTCCAAGGAGCCGCTCTCCACTCAGCCACCATAATAGGAGTCCCGCCAGGAGCTGGATTCCAAGGCATAAACACAGAGCATTAAAAAAGAAATTACTAGTGAGAAGGTTGCGAGGGGCTGGGATTGGGAACGAGGAAGGACTGGAATGAGAAGCCTATTTTTAGAACCAGCATTTACATAATAGGGCTCTGCAGAGCCAGCTCCCTAAAGGGGAAAGCTGCTGGAGGCCAATGCCACGATCTCCAACTCTCTGCTCCTTCTCTCCTTTCTGCTGCCCACCCTAGGGGTAGGGGGCAGGGCCAGGGGACAGCCAAGAGGGTGCCTTTGTGGCAAGGCCTGCTTCTTGTGGCTCCTTTGGCCCCTCATACAGACACGCCCAGAGCAGAAGCTGCAGTGGGACGTAGGGGTCTGTTAGAGCCACTGACCCACCCCAGCTAGAGACCCAGGTCCTGTACTCACAGGGCTGTTTTTCATTCGAGCCACCAGGTCCCGGGCCTGGGCTGGCATATCCCTAGGCAGGAGAAGAGAGGGATGGTTAGAGTGGGCCCAGGAGCAAGGGCTCAAGCTGCAGGAGTTTGGCCTGGCAAGGATGTGTTTCCAAAAGACTCGCATTATGTTAAGTTTATTCCTTCAGAATGTATTGAAAGGCTTGATTCTCAGGAAATCTCCGCTGAGTAATAATCAAAGGTCTGCCATGACCTCGGAGCCACCTGGACCCAGACCCTGCTGGAGGCTCGTCTGATCCCACCACCTCTTCCTGTCGGCCCGTCCTCCCGGCCACGTGAGGTGGCATCTGCTCAGCCTCCCCAGCAGGGAAGCGCCCTTACAGTTCATCCAGTGCTTTCATTGCAAGCTGAGCCTGTTCACTTCTTAATCGGCTGCCCGTTTTAAAAATAACCTTTTGTGTATTTTTAAAAAAGTCACAGCCTTAAATTATCCCTCGGCTTTCCCCTTCCAGGCTTCCCGACTCCATTAGCCTTCACTTCTAAGCCCCCCTCTCTGCCCTTTAATCCTTTTGTTTTTCTTCTCTTTCCACACCATTCTCCATCTCCCCATATTTCCCCTCCCAGCAAGACAGGCTGGGGAGACAAAAACGGACAGGGTTCGTTCTCCCTTCACCTCCTGGGTGTCCCCCAGGAATAAGGCAATGAATACTCCGGATAAGAGACCTGCGTGTCAATGGAATGCTACTCAGCAATAAAGACGAACGGACTACCGATTCAAACAACAACATGGATGCATCTCAAAATAATTTTGCTGGCTGAAAGGTTAGACAAGAAGGCATACATAGTCTATGATCTCATTTACATACAATTCTAGAAAAATTAAGACTCATCTATAGCAACAGAAAGCAGGTCAGTGGTTGCCTGGAGTGCAGTAGGGGACAGGAAGGGGCAAGAGGGAGAGATTACAAAGGGGCCCAGGGAAACGTTTGGGGGTGATGGACGTGTTTATCATCTTGATTGCAGTGATGGTTTCACAGGCATATGCTGGTACAAAACATTAAATTGCAGACTTTTAATGACAGTGTATTGTATGTCAGTTAAACCTTTTTTTTTAAAGTATGCATATGAGAAATTATGTCAGCAAAGATATACAGCCAATAGAGGCCTCCTTGGAGGAAGTCCTACAAACAGTTGCTGGTACAGGATGGCCATTTAAAATCTCTGCATGCCCACAATGAGCTGGGCACGTGGCCAAGCAAACATGACACCTTCCCTGCCCTTGTGTCTCATTTACACACCCAGGGCCGCACCCATACAGTCCTGCTATTGGTGGGCACATCAGAAAGCTATAAAGAAAGCCTGTCCCGGTTAAAGGTGACCACAGAAGTACTCATAGCCTTTTAATAGGTTCAAGATGTGACGAGGGGAATTCATGGGCGAGAAGTTCACATGAGCACTAGGGGAAGTCAGGAACACCCACTTCCTCCTCTCTCCCCAGCCATGTTCTTCAGGCTCAGAGCACGTCCCACCTTCCCTGTGAGCCTTCTCTCCGCTGAGCTCATTCGTCCACACCTCCTCCATTTCCTTTTCCATCTCGGTGCAAAGAGCCCTGCTCTTGGAGTTACGGGACCCGGGTTCTCCTTCCAGCTCTGCTACGAACTTGTTGCGTGAGCTCACTCAAGCTACCCAACCCTGCCAGGGCTGAATTTTCCTCACCTTTTACACGAAGGGGTTGGATGCATGATTTCTGCGGTCCCATCTGCATCTGTATTGAGACTGCCTGGTCCTCACTGCCTGGCCCTACACTTTTCTATTCTCTTGGTTGCACTCCAAAGTACAAAACCATTTCCGTCTGCAATGTTGCCGTACGCAACATTTCCCCCCAAAAGTTACTTGTTTGTTTCACTGGACAGTAAGCCCTTTGTAGGGAGGGAGTTCACCTTTTGACTTTTCTGTATCTTTTGGTAACCGCCTTGGAGCAGCAGTAAAATAGAAAAGGCAGTGAGAGAAGTGAAGCGAGAAAGGGGCTAAAATGTCAACAGACTGAAGAATCACCTCCAGGTTAATGAAGCCTGGGCTGTAAATTATAATGAAACAACAACGATGATGATGATGGTGGTAATAATAATAATAGTTACAACAGCAGTTAGATGTTGACATCAGGACCCCACGAAGCCCAGTTTTGTTTTGTTTTTTCAGATAAATTAGTTCCTCTTGCTTATGACGTTGAGGAACTGACATGGCTTCCTGTGTCTCAGGGCCGCACGGAGCGTGGGGCTCCTCACTAGACTGAAAGGAAGGCTCCTGTAAACACCGTGAGTCAGGGCAGCGTCGTTTCCTTGGTGATCCGAGCGCAGCAATCCTGCTAAAAGCAAACACCCAGCACGTTCGGTGCAGAAAATCAATGAACTCTGCCAGGCATTTCAGCTTTAATTATCTGGATTATTGTCAACAACAGAAACCTGAGTGAAAACAAACAACTACCATGCTGTTCCCGGGCCGCACACCTCACTCCCTAATGTCAAAATAACAGCCTTTTCAGATTCCACACTGGAGGATCTGAGGTGCGGGGGAGGGAGGGAGGCGGGCTGTCCACGGGGTCACACACCGAGTCCCTGAGAAGTTCGCTGAACCTCTGCCCGGCAGGGAGCTAAAGGCCCCGAGCCAGCCAGGTCTGATCCTGGGTCCTCTGATAACTTTCGCTGATAAGCTTGGACCATTTGGGAAACGTTCTAAGCCTCAGTGTCCTCATGCTAGTGCCCATCTTGAAGGGTGTGAGATCACAGGAGACCACCCACGTGAGGGCCAGCTCAGGGCCAGGCAGTGATTAGTGTTCACCTGGGGCCAGGCTCCCAGGTCCTGGCCTCCTCGCCTCCTCCATTTCCCGCCCTGACTTCCCAGCCCGCCCTCCTCTCTCCCTCCTATACCCACGTCCACTCACCGAGCGCTGGCGCCTTCCACAGCCACATTCAGTCCTGCCGTCTCCTCCTGGGTGCCGGTGGAGAATCCGAGGATTTGAGGATTGAACTTCTTGAGAATGTCTTTTAAGAGGGAGAAAAGCAGACAGCACAGGTGAGTGGGAGGTGGATGTGCAGCGTTGGGGCACAGGTGGGGGCAGGGCGGTTTGGGGTCTTTTCGGGGCTGGTGGACTTCCCTCCTTGCAGATGACTCCCCTGCTGCTGCTCAGGGGAGGCCCTGGCCTCAGCGAGGGGTTGTTGCGGCCACCGTGATGGTGCTTCTGCGTGTTGCTACTTACTGGGCAGCGTGGTGTGCGTCTCCAAGACCCCATCCCCTCCAGCGCTGGGGAGAGAAACACATCTGTTCAAACCTCCCGACCTGCTGCTCCACATGTCGTCATATTTCTGAGTCAGAACCAGAGAGTCTGCCCCCGGTACGGGATTCCCATCACCCTGAGGACCAACGTGAGCACCAGGGCCTTTGCATCTCGGCGCCGGGCCATGGAGCCTGGCCTTGTCTCCGTCTCCACAGGGCTGACAGGGAAACACCACCCATGGCCTCTGGGGGAGTGTCACCCAGAGAAATGAAGTGGAGAACATCCTCACCTCCAGGACAGTCCCCGCCAGGACACGAGCTGGTCACTAGAGTTGCCAGGGCGGGCTCCCACTGCTGTCTGCAAAAGGCAAAGAGAAAGCAGGCTGCAGCCCTTGGGGCGGGGAGGGGTGGTGGTGGGTGGTGTGGGGCCGTGCACTCATGTAGCAGCCGGGGCCTGGATTGACCTTTTCTGAAAATGTACCAGCTCCTCTCCAGGCCACTTAACCTCTGAGTTGTCCTGACTCCTCAATCCTCTACATACAACCAGCAACCAGGTCCTAGAAGAACCAAGATCCTTCCTTCCCACACTCTCTAGCTCCCACCTCTTTCTTGCTGTTCCCTTTGCCATATTCTGAGGTGAGACGGTCATCTTCTTGCTGTGGACAACACTCTAACCTCCGACCTGACCCCACGCTCCCCAGTGCCTGCTCCCTTCTCACCAGCTGTCCGGCTGCTCTTCTGAGCTCACCTTGTCTTCACACCTCCCCCTGATCCTGACCTTTCAGTGGGTCTCCCTTACCCACAGGGTCAGAGCCAAACCCCTTTACCAGCTTCCTGAGTTCACCATAACCTGGTTTCCACTTTCCTTCCTTCACGCACCTGTTCCTTTCCTGTCCACACAAATCTCCAGGTCTAAGCAAACTGATCTGAAACAAGAGGGCCTTGGACTGGCATTGAATTCATTCTCTAAGACCTTTGCCAGTTTTTGTCTCCTTTATAAAACTTTCTCAAAATGCCCTATCTCAAAAAAGAGAGAGGAATTCCTCTTCAAAACTTATAAAAATAATGCGTAGTCACCATAACTAGTGAAATGATGCAAAGGGTTTTAAAAATTAATAATCTACCCCACCTTATAATCTTGCCCCATCCCCTCCTCACCCCTGACCCACATACACACGCCACCAAAGCTAATCATACCAAAGTTAAAACACATTCACACACCTGGGGGAAAGTTGTTTGTTTTTACAGAAATAAATATCTGGTTTAAAAAAAAAGGCCTGTATGTCATCTATATGATTATGTAGCTTCTTCTGTGTACATTCCTTGCTTTCCCAGTTGAATAGATTTCATGAGGGCTACGGCTATGTCTCATTCTTCTTTCCTCTCAGAATTGCTAGCAGAGTGCACACAGCAGTAGCTAAATAGTTGGCTAATAGGATTCGCTTAGTGAAACTGTGCTATGTGCAGGAATTGGGCTCCCTCTGCCCCAAAGAACACATCTTCAAATGGGGTGAGGGGGCGCTGGGAAGGGGTGGGTAAGACCACCACTCTGTGAGTCAGGTAGATGGAGGTGAGTTTCCTGATACAGGCAGGCAGGTTTGGCTGAGTACCTTAGCAGAGACAAAATGCTTGGGGACAATGGGGAACAGGGTATGTGTAGGTATATGGCTTCTCCCTGGGGAGGCGGTGTTTGAGCGAGACTGCGGAAGGGCAGAGGGCAGAGCATTACAGATTGCCTGGCGATGTCTTGTGGCTGCCTGGCTGTGTTTTGGTGCCTGACACAGGTAGGTTCTCACTAGTGCCAGCTAAACGCAGAGCCAGTGCGGAGGAAGAGCTGATTCCGCACAGGGCTTGGCGGGTGCCCGTGCCTGGCACAGCTCAGTACTCACAGTTAGCGAGTCACCCAGGGCGGCCACCACTTTGATGTCTCCTGGTCGGAGCTCATGGACTAGGATAGACAGGCAAAAAGATGGATGGTCAGGGGGAGGTCTATCTTTTAAAGCATCAACTTGACTAGAAGTCTGAGATTCTGCTGTAGTCCCACAGGTCCCCACTACACTACTTCCAGCCTAGGGCCTTAGCAACTTTGCCTCTTACATCCATTAGAGCAGGGGTCCTCAAACTTTTTAAACAGGGGGCCAGTTCACTGTCCCTCAGACCGTTGGAGGGCCGGACTATAGTTTAAAAAAAAACTATGAACAAATTCCTATGCACACTGCACATATCTTATTTTGAAGTAAAAAAACAAAATGGGAACAAATACAATATTTGTATTTGCATGTGGCCCACGGGCCGTAGTTTGAGGACCCCTGCATTAGAGCAACCAAGGCACTGAAGGTAACGACCTTGATGGCCTTGTCCATCCTGAGAGGAGCCGGATTCCCACTGGAGCGGTCCAGGAAAGTCCTAGCTGCGGGGGTCATGAGTGTAGGCAGAGAGGACCCCAATCCCCGAATGGCCCAACCTCCCAGGGCAGGGAGGCCCGAGGGCCTGCCACTGGGACTAAGTGGACCTGAGAAGTGTGATTTGTGGAGAGGCCTGGGAGCCCAGCAGGGGTTGCAGGCCAGCTATTCTCCAGTTACACCAGATCTAGGACTGCATTGCGTGGGAATCGGCAAGGCCTGCTCAAGGCTCCAGGATGTGCTTGCAGGGTCTCCCACCACCTGGACACTTAGCAAGGCCCTTGAGTGAAGTGGGAAATGACGTTTCACTCACCCGAGGTGGGAACACTGTTGGACGGCGTCCACTCCATACACAGGAAGTCACTACCCCAGTTCTAAATCAACAGGAGGAAAGACACAACGCCCAACACTCATTGTGCAGGGAAGTTAGCTTCAGCCGAGAACTGGCTAAGGAGCGTTTGGTGGCGGCTAGAACTATGTCACTGTAGGGGGTCATGTGAGGGAAGGACCTGTTAGCTGTAAATGGTCTGCGACAGAAATGAGAGAGGAGAGAATGGGTGCCTGCCCATCCCTATGCACAAAACACATAATGGTGGGAACACACAACAGTCTTTCCCATCTCCACTCTCTAGTGGAGCCAGCAGTCCGACCGAAGCAGGGGAGAAACAGTGCAGTCATTCACACTACATGGGGTTTCCCAGAGAACACATTTCTGGACGCCTAATAAGAGATTCCAGCTGGGTTTTGGCATTGTTATTTAACATTAAGCTAATGGACACTAATTAGGATGCCAGAGCCGAAACAATAATTAGTTAGAATATATTTAGAAAAAGAACATGACATTTTTACAATTGTAGAGACCCTGGTTTCTGCATATACTTTTCTTGCACATGTGTATATGTTTTTGGATATTTAACTTAATAGCCAACCATTTCCTTGTATGTGTAAAAATTAATGCCTATAACCTAGGTACTTTTAGTCAAATTCCTTCTTTCTTCGTCTCTAAAATACAGAGCACCTTGCCCTGGCCGGGTGGCTCAGTTGTTAGAGCATTGTCCAGATATGCCAAAGTTGTGGGTTTGATCTCTGGTCAGGGCACATACAAGAAGCAACCAATGAATGCATCAATAAGTGGAACAACAAATCTCTCCCTCCCCCTTTCTCTCTCTCTTCCTTCCCCCGCCCCCTCTCAAATCAATAATAATAATACAGAGCACCTTTTCCAGGTGCTGGAGGAAGGGATGGGTGGGAAGCAGAGGGCATAGAAATGACCAGTATCAGCAAGCTGGGGGAGAAACAGAACCTCCTCCCCAGAGATGCAAACACCTGCATATCTCCAAGATGGCCTGAGGGACAAGCCCAGTGCTGAGCGCATAGTAGGGCTCCACAAACAGGCACTGACTAGTTGGCTGATTTGGAAGCTCATTTCTTCTGTTTTAATCAGATGATGACGAAGACAAGCCTTCTTAAAAACACTCTTCTCACCAGGGAGCAAACTGAAGCTTCTTTTAAAAATTATTTGCTTAATTTGATATAACTCAATTTATTCCAAGGAACTTCTCAATTCATCACATGCACAGATTCCTTCTTCTGTGTGGATGTTCTACTCAAGTCAAGAATGTGTTTGTTGTGCCTATGACAAATATTGGGGGACATTTTAAAAAATGTTCTATTGCTGTGAGTACTTCAGAACTATCTCAGCCAGCTGCTGAGCCAGAGACACCGTTGGGGTCTGTCACAGGGAGAACCACACACTGCAGTTTCCCCGGGTACCCTGGTGTCCTGTGAAATGCAGATGCTGATTCAGTAGGACTGGGGTGATGTCCAGGACTTCGCATTTCTAATGAGTTCCCAGGTACTATTGATGTTGCCTGTCTGTGGCTAAAATAGCAAGCTATTGAAAAAAACCACACCTTCTAGGCCTGGGTTTCGAACTCTTCTAGCAGCAGAAGCAAAGACACATAAGACAGAGGACAGGCCTGGTGTGGTCCAGGATCCTCTAGGCCAGTGGTCGGCAAACTGCGGCTCGTGAGCCACATGCGGCTCTTTGGCCCCTTGAGTGTGGCTCTTTCACAAAATACCGACTTCTGCGCATGGGCCACGAAGTTTCAGTCGCACTGTATGTGCGCGCCCGCACGTGGTATTTTGTGGAAGAGCCACACTCAAGGGGCCAAAGAGCCGCATGTGGCTCGCGAGCCGCGGTTTGCCGACCACGGCTCTAGGCCATCTTTGGAGTAGTAATCCTTAAAGCCGTGGGCCCTGAGTCCTTGGGGTTCCTCAGAGCCAGTACGATTACCTGGAACCCAACCAGCCTCGGGACCTACCTAGATATGCATCAGCTTCCGGTTGGGCCCGGCCCCTGGAATTGGGATTCTTTCTACTCGGCTTGGCTTTCATCTTTCAGGAAGTCAATGGTACATCATACCTATTGCCTCCCCTTCGTCCTTTGAAAAGCTGAGTTGCCTAATCAGAAATGATGTTTGTACAAAGGTCAAAGAAAACTGATCCATGGGCACTTCCTCTTGTTGGCTGCTATTGTCAGGTAAGCGCCGGAGAACATGTTAGGACAATCCTGGAACTCTGTGGTTCAGGCGATTTTTTTTTTTTTACATTTCCATTTTCAGTATGTAAGAAGGGCACATTTCTGCTTAAGCTAACACTCTGAAACCTGCATCCCACCCGAGTCACTGGCAGGTGGAAATGGTTTGCCCCTGAGAGAGGCGGACATGCGTCAGGAGTTACCTCGATGGCTGGCTTGGTGGGGTATGTGTAGTTACTGTTCCGCAGGGTTCTCAGGAAAGGCTCATTCTAAGAGGAAAGAAACCACAAGGAGAGGTTATCTGACAACATCAGAGGTTGCTCAGGAAAGATAAGAACTAATAATCCTGTCCTCTAGATTTATTTAACGTGAGTTTTCTGCACTCAAATAGGAAGAACTGTGTAAACATCATTTTGTTCATTCCCTAGAGGGGTTTTCATATCATCTTTGGCAAGGGATAAAGGAAAGGCCTAAAAAAGGGTCATGCATGTATGTTTTATTCAGGGTTCTAAGAACATCTCCCTAATCATCACGCTGATCTGTTTTCTTTCCTTTGCAATTTCTCTGGCAAGAGATTCATATTATAGCAATTTTTTCTTTTATAAAAAGAGTTATGATTATCAATTTGCTTTTAATGTCTTCTTCCCCCTTCATTTCAGAAGAAACATGCTCTCTTCCGTTCTGGCCCTGCCACTGCCTCTCTTGCATCCTGATCCCATTCACACCATCACGTTCCTGCCGGGCATCAGATCTGAGTTCGCAGACCCTGAAACCCCCATTTTACAGATGAGGAGCAACTGAGGCCCAGAGTGAGCAAGGGATCTGCTCCAGGCACAGAGCAAATAGTGAGTGAGAACAGGGCCTGACCTGACTGGGCAGGCCCCGCTGTCCAGGACTGGCCTGGTTCCATTCCTCACATTGTCAGGCCCTGGGTGGTCAGACATGGAGGAAGAGGAAGACAGGGACTCAGCAGACACCTTGAAGGATCGAATCTACATGTGCCAAAGTCTCAGCCCCCCCCCCCCCCCATGGGCCCTGGCTCCCTGGGCACCACACACGTCTCTCCTTCCTCCTGAGTGTCAGCGTTCCTGCTGACACATGGGCTGGAGGAGTACTCAGGGCCAAGGGCAGGAAGTGCGCCCCGGACCACCTGCAACAGTGGAGGAAAGAGGCCTCACGCAGGCGTGTCACCGTGGCTAACCAGGCTTGTCTCCGGCTAATGTTGTTTAGCATCCCCGGAACATTCACCATCACGAGGGCAACCTGGGAGCATTCTATATATAACTGGCCCATTTTCATTGAGCCCCCCTGTGTTCAGAGCACTGTGCCGAGTGCTAGGATGAGGGGAGGATAGAGGGAGGTGTCCAACCCAGCCGGACAGAGCGCGTGAGAAGCTGCCAGGCGGCGGTGAAACGTCAAAGAATCGTGGGCCATAGTGCAGTGAGTGGTGAGGAATGGTCATAAGATCTGGGGATGTACGGTTCTCAAAGACCAGACCACCAGACCAGTGGAGGGTGGGTCTCTCGTTAACATTCTCCCCCCGCTTCAAGGGAGCCCTGCCTGGGCCTAGGGTCTGGGGCCTGGAGCTAGTCCCAGAGTGGTAAGCACAGAAGAACCAGAGGGCAGAGACACACCCTGCTCTCCTGGAGGTGCTGAAAGTCAAACTGGAGAGTGTGTCTGGTCATACGCTCCAAGGGTTGGGAGAGGAGCCAGAGAGGGACAACTGAGTCAAAGGGTCAAAGGTCAGGGAGACCCTGGGATTCAGCAGGGAGTGAGCCCAGACCAGGAACAATAAGAACAGGTCCAGGGCAGCGGCAGACGGGTGGCCGGGCGCCCAGGGCTTGTTTTATTGACCAGAGGCTGCTGGTACGTGCATGAGTCAGAGTGGCTTACAGGCCTGGGGTTGAGCAGATGCCGCGGAAGAGAGAGGCCATCGTTTGATCTCATTGGCTCTCTTCGGCTCCGTTGGGAACACCAGTGAGCAGAAGGTGAAGCCCTTTAAATTCCAGCACAAGGAAGTCTTTGCAAAGATGGTGTGGCCTGCCTGGGGGTGGGGGCAGAGCCAGGACAGCCACCTGACGTGAGTCAGCACCATGCGTCAGAGGCTTCGGGAAAAGGTCACGTTCGTCTTGGCTGTGTCACCAGGTTTAAAGTTCCACCGTGAAGGAGTGGTGCTTCTGGCTTTCTGTCTGTGCTGCTCAGACCAAACCAGCGTGTACAGGCAGGTCTGGGCACCCCCGGAGAGGGGCCGTGCTCCAAGGAGGCATGCCTACTACGTGAGGCAGGGATGGCGAGGCTGCTCTGCCAAAAACGGTTCAGGGAGAAGATCAGGGAAGGGTGGTAGGAGGAGGAGGACATAGCAGCCATGACCTCTGACATCCCATCCCATCCCAAATGGGCTGGTTCATGACCTACTAGGCTAGTTTCACAACCTGTTCAGGAGTAGCCACTGCCCGGAGAGTACAGAGGTGTAAGTAGAGGCTGTGGTGATTCCTTGGGAGGGATGTGGTAGAAGAATTCATTTATCCAAAGAGAATCACATCAACAGGACTCCACAGCCCTCCTGCTGAGACCCTGTGGTTATAGAATTCTCTGTTGTTTTATGATGGGAAGGTAGGACCAGATGACCTTTAACATGCAAAGTGCTAAGGATCTGAACAGGGTGTTTGTGTGTGGGGGGGGAGAGGGTGGTTGGGAGGATGGTGGTGGTGGGAATGGAAAGCAGGGGCAGGTGGGAGGGGCAGGGAAGACTCCTCTCGGGTAGGGTTCCTGCCGGAGGTTCCGTGCCTGTAGAATGGTGGCAACCACAACAGTGACAGAAATAGGAAAGCCCTAGGGAGCACAGCGTTTGGGAAGACAGATGTTTAGCTCCCATTTTAACACTCCATATGCAAAAATTAGCTTTTGAATGAGAGCTTGTTGAGTTTGAGGTGATGGTGAGGTCAGGGCGGGATCAGGAGGTTTAGAAGGCCAAAGCATTCAGAAGGTAACAGTGTCCCCCATCTGTCATTCAAAATAGAAACACCATGAAACAGTACGCGTAATGGAATCCAACAAACCTCCGCTTTTTCAAAAATAAAAGACTGGATGTGATATCGCTGGGAATCATTTTGGTTTCTCTTTCTCTGCCTCTCTCTGTGCATCTCTCTGGTTTCCCTGCGTAGCTGATACCCTGACCATCCCTTTAGGCTGCCGTCGGAGTAACCTGACAGCATATGGAGCATCCAAGGGGAAACAGCTCTCAAGGGTTAGACACACAGAGGGGAGTTTGGGAAAGAAAGAAATGAAGACACAGACTGGGGCGTCTCATGCAAAGAAAGTTAACAGGAAGCCCTGGAAATGGACAAATCTCGGAGTGAGGGGATGGGGAGAGAGAGATGAGAGAATAGGGCTGAGACACAGTTGGAGAACATCCACACTTTCAAGGCTGGAAGAAGAGAAGAGGGACATTAAAAGAGACAAGCGCCTTGGCTGGATGGCTCAGTTGGTTAGTGTGTCATTCCCAAAAGCCAAGGTTGCGGGTTCGATCCCTGGTCAGGGCACATGTAAGAATCAACCAATGAATACATAAATAAAGGTAACAAGTCAATATCCCCCCATCTCTCTCTAAAAAAATTCAATAAATGAAAATTTTAAAAGAGATAAGAAGGGGCAACAACTAGAAAACAGAGCAATGGGTGCTTTCGCATCCAGGAAACTCATGGAGGAGAGAGTTAACCGTCAAATGCTTAGAGAGAGCAGGATGAGTAAGAGCTTAGAAAGGACTGGGATGGTCTTCAGCTGCTTTCTTCCAAGCCCGAGGAGCCACCGCCAGCTTCCTGAGTTAGGGAAGGAGAGGGCAGAGAGGCGATGCAGGCCGGAAGGGGCCCATAGTCACAGTCCACACAGTGGCTATTGAAAAGCTGGCTGTGAAATCATTTGTGCAACCCGAAAGTCCATTAGAAATCCATGGAGTGTTAAGGGCCCGACCTGGCCGGGCAGAATGCACTTGCAGTTGCCTGGGGCAGGGGAGGGAGCAGGGAGAGTCTGAGAAAGCTCCCCATTGCTCGCATCCCTCCCGGCTGGGTCCTGCCTGTCGCCTCTATGTTTAGACACAGCTAGGACTAAAATACGTGCTGCCTGGCCCGTCAGCTCACACCGAGATGCTGGTGGACTTTATATAGCTCCCAGGCACACGGGAGGGAGCAGATGGGACCTGAGGAACACAGCATGCTACATTGCCTGGTGCGGTGAAATGGGGCTAGCTGACAGATGGAGCCTTTGGGAATGGGCCCTGGGGTTGCCTGGCAACCGCTTCTTCCAGGCTGGGCTTTTAGGGCTCCAGGAGGTTGGATTTGCTCTCCTCTGCTCACCCAGGCCCAGCCAGGCTCTGCCCAGGAGGAGGAGCAGAGCCCACCGGGGCTTGAGTGTTGGTGGAGCGGCACCCTGTCGGGGCTCCTTGCCTGGTCTGGGTGGGGCAGAGAGTGGCAGAGGTCCCCTTGAGGCCCATGGTGACCCAGTGCCGAGGCTCCAACCTGGTACTTGACAAATGTTTGTGGGGAGGAAGAGCCATGACAGACCCCTGGAAGGGGCTGTTATTACTTGTACTATTTAATGGAAGGTTGAATGGGCAGAGTGGACATCCGTGGCTGATGCTCAGTGTGACCATATGGGTGGTAATAATATTGAAACATTGCTCTGAGTCCCCAAGTACCCCACTACAGAGCTGGCCTGGCTCCTCCCCTAGGACCCCTGGGCCATGCTCAGGACTTAGCATTAAACCATTTACACCTGGCACAGCAGGGTCCTCTGGGCCTCCCAGCCTTCTGGCCAGCAGCTGGCCTCTGAGTGGAGGCATCCATGGTGCACTGCTTGTGACATCATTGGACTATCTCCTTTGCTCCAAGAACCAGACCCAGCAACCGAGCCCTCTGCTGCCACTGCCCTCACTTCCGCATTCCTTCTTCCCACTTCCTGATGGCACAGAGGCTGAGCCTGGGCTGCAGACAGGGTGTGGGGGTCCCGGGAGGGCTGCCACCCTCTCGGGAGCCCTGGCAGACACATGGGGGAGCTGCAGGGCCATTCCCTGTCCTGCCTGGAGGGTGAGAGCTGGTGATGCAGCCGACCCTGGAGGGAACCGCAGCGTCCCAGATTGGGTCAGGCCCCTCTGCTTCTATGGCCGCTGAGGGCTCTCGGGCCTCGGCCTTATTTGGTTAAAAAGTCATGAGACAGGACCTAGCAGGGAGAGCTGAAGGCAGTGGGAACATGAACTTGCCCCTACCCAAGCCCCAAGATCAGGTTGAACAACCACATACATTTCCTCCTTAAAAGGAGCCGAGTCCTCACCCGAGCCCTCACAAAGGCCACTGCGACTTGCCCTGCTCCACACAGCTCCCTGGCTGTTTTCTTGACCCCCTTTCTGCTGGGAACTCCCAATTCAGGCCCTATAACCACTAACCACAACTTCTGACCTGCTGGCTTCTCCTTGGCCTCCACCTGCAGTCTGACTTTCCTCTCTGCCCCACGAACCTTGTCATCCTTCTGGCTTCTTGACTCCCCTGCTCAAGAATCCACCTTCCCCACCCTCATCCTCAACCCAAAGAAACACGTGCTTCTCCCCTTTCCATTCTCATCTGCTTTCTTCCGTCCTCCCAAGTCCATCTGCTTCCAGCTGATGGGCAGACGGGCAGGGAGGAAGCTGGGGAGGAGCATGAAGGGGGGAGGGCGAGGTCAGCGCTCTGGGCTGCTGGAGAGGAATGCAGCAGGTCCCCCCTCATTACCTGTGTGGGGCAGGAGAGGGGCATATCTGCTGTCAGGTCCAGGGTATCCGTTTTCCTTCCTAGTGGTTCGAGCTGTTTGGGGAAGGAGAGAGAGACACAGGTGTACTCATTTGTTTACACGGAAATGAACATCTCCCTGCGTGGGAAAGCTTTGGCTTCCACTCCTGGCTCTGCCACTTGCCAGCGGTGTGATATTGGGCATGTCTCTGAGCTTCTCTAGGATTCAACTTCCTCGTACATTCATGATACAGCAGGGCTGTTGAGAAGCCTTAATGAGGCAACATGGCGTAAACTGCCCAGCCTAGTGCCCGGCACATAGAAGATGTTGAATATCCATGAGGGTTCTGCTTTGCAATCATGTAAAAGCCCCTCAGAAGCACAGAGGAGAAGGTGTGGCTTCTCCTGGGGTCTTCAGGACTCTGTATTTTCAAGTCCATAGACATGTACAGCTGTGCCAGCCACTGCTCCTCTATACCTTGCTGGCCAAGGGAGGCCAAGAACTAGCTCCAATCTAGGGGGGCTGGTGCTTTGCTCTAGACTAGAACCCCAGAGAAACGGGGACACCTCACTTTACCATATTGGCCCAAAGGGCTCTGGAGAGCTGGGAGTGGAATTTCTGACTTGGGTGGATGCAGTCGGGGGCGAAGAAAGACATATCCAAGCGCCCATCCTGGAGGAGAGAAACAGACTTCCTCAAGATCCTGCTGGCCCAGAGGGTGGAGAGGGAGCCACAGCTGACTGGTCTGACCCCTGATTGACCCCTCAACACCCTTCTCACCTGGGGGTGCTCCGAGCCACTGGGCAGGGCCTGATCACCTCAAGAGGGAGATCAGAGCAATCCCACAGATCAGTAGCCTTGGGTGACCCCAAACCCCATTGTCCTTCTGGCCCCACAATTTCCCTTATTTAACAAAAAAAAGTATCATATTTGTTTTTAGGCAAATTGGTGTGATGCCCTAGCCCAGTGGTTGGCAGACTCATTAGTTAACAGAGCCAAATATCAACAGTACAACGATTGAAATTTCTTTTGAGAGCCAAATTTTTTAAACTTAAACTATATAGGTAGGTACATTGTTATTAACTTAATTAGGGTCCTCCTAAGGCTTAGGAAGAGCCACACTCAAGGGGCCAAAGAGCTGCATGTGGCTCACGAACCGCGGTTTGCCGACCACGGCCCTAGCCCATGCCATGCTTGGGGGAATGAGATCTAGTCCCTAAGGAAGTCTTGACCAGCCAGCTGGGAAAGGCTACTTCCCAGCCATTGACCAGATGGTCCCGGTGGACTTGGTGGGGAGAATGGGGCCCACCCTCAGGGCAGGTCTGGGCAAAGCCAATACCAGGGCAGTGTGCCAGCTTCCGCTTTCTTGAGGCACTCAAGGTTGCTCAAAGCTCCCTCCAATTAGGTGAAGCCCTTAGGTTGGATACCCAGGTGGACAGAAGCAAGTCCCCACCCGGGTCCACTCACAGCTCTTCTGCTCAGAGTGGGAGTGTCAGGTGCAAAGCAAGCCAGGGGTGGAAACTGAATACCCAGAGCCCTCCTTTATGAGTTTAGTGCCATGTGTATGTGGCAGAAAGGGAGTATTCTGGAGCCGGACATGCTCACGGGGGCCGTGTCCTGTATTTTCTATATGATTTTAGGAAGGCTACTTCACATCTCTGAGCCTCGGCTATAGGGGGATAATAAAACTCATCTCAAAAGGTACTTGTGGCAAGCACAGGGCCTGGCACATAGTAAATGCTCAATAAAACTGAGGCTGCTTTCCCACATCAGGCTGGTTCTGAGAATGCAGCTCAGCTGTTGCAGGAGGCCACTCTCACCAGACCTGCACCTGGAGAGCTGCCCGTGTCTTTCCCACTTTATTCACTCTCGTGGAAGCACGTGGCATTTCTGCCTTGAATTTCCTCTTCCCTCCGGGAGCCCCATGGGGAAGGGCAGGGACGTACCTCCAGGACGGGGAGCCTGGTGTTGTGGAAGAAGGGCTGCAGCACCACAGAGAAGTCCTCCCGCGTGTCGTAGCGGCCTGACTCCACCAGCTCAAGCATGCTGCTCTGGGGACACACCCATGGGTGCCTTCAGCACAGGCCCTAGGTGGCCCAAGAGCCCACGGGGGCAAGGGTGGGCAGAGCTCCACCTCCCTGGGAAATGGGGGTGGTGGTGCTGCCTCAGCCCTTCCCTTGAGCTGAGCAGGCAAACACATTTGATTGCAAAGCTCTTTCCAGAGAATTGGAAACAGGTTGGGCCACCTTTTTGTTTTGCTTCTAAGTGAACTGCAAGCTCTGAAGGGCCAGGCAGAAAGTCCCACAAGGAATAGAAGCCTGGGAAGAGTCTCCAAAGAGCCCCCAGGCTGGGGACCTGCAGCCGCTCCACCTGTTGAGGAGGTGAGGGGGCAGCTGGGCCCCCAGGTGCAGGGGAGTGGGAGGGGGTCCCATGGGGCATCCAAGACTTTTGTCCTCCACAGGCCAAGCGTTGGGCCATGGGGCTTTGTCACCTAGACGCCTTTGGACCGACTCCAACCAGGTGCCTGAGACGCCTCAGCCAGGTGGGGCGGAGGAAGGGGCCTCGATGGTGAAGTCCCCCTCAAACCCTGAACAGCTCTTCTCTCCCCTGTGTGCCTCCCTCCCCTCGGGGGCTCTGGGCTGGTGTGTTCAGTGAGTGTGGGGACAGCACACCACATGGTGCCTTCTTGTCTCACCTGGTAGGCTCTGGTGATGGCTTCCAACTTGGCCAGCTCCGGGGAGTTCTCCCGAGGGGTCAGCACGCAGTTACACAAAACGCTGCACAGAAAGGGAGGCAGGAGGGCCCGGAGCCGGGGCTCTGGTCAGGGGCGGGTTCCGCTGCACCAGCAGCTCACTGAGCCCGGGCTTAGGAGCCCCTGTGCCTGAGGCTCTGATGCAGGTGCTGAGGGGTGGGTTTCAGGCCTGACCCAGAGACTGGATAAGGTCCCAAGGGTACATGGATGAGCACCTTCTTGTATGAATAGAGCCCAAGTAGTGCTCTGCAGGCGCTGGGCCGGAAGCAAATGGATTTAGGCAATGACAGTGCAAGGTTTAATTTTTATAAATAAAATATGCATCCTTTGGTATTGGGCCTCCCATGCTCAGGCCCTCAGATACCTTCTTAGCTGGCACTAGTGCCCAATGTGTCATTTATTTTGTCATGAATTATTTCATGCCCATAAAATGCACTTCATGTTATCAGCCCAGATGGCGTGGCTCAGTGGTTGAGTGTTGACCTATAAACCAGGACGTCATGGTTCGATTCCCGGTCAGGGCACATGCCTGGGCTGTGGGCTCAATCCCCAGTGGGTGGGGGAGGGGGGCCATGCAGGAGGCAGCTGATCAATGATTCTCTCTCATCACTGATGTTTCTACTCTCTCTCTCCCTCTCCCTTCCTTTCTGAAATCAATTTTTAAAAAAGAGAGAGATACTATCTCTAAAGCACTCAGGACAGTGCCTAGTTCACAGTAAGTTCTGTACAAGTACTTGTTACATAAATAAGTGAACATATAAGGTATCTTCTGCTTCAGTTTCACCATCCCATGCTGTCCCCCCACAGGCTGGGGCACCCCGTCTCTCAAGCACTAGCCTTTGCCCCAGCTGGCCTCTCCCCTGGGGTGCCCCCATATCACAGACACCCTGCTGACACCCTGAGGTTGGATAAGGGGTGTGTCATGGCTCCAACCTCCCAAAAAGGGGTGGTCCTGGCACAAAGCCCCCTTTACAGACTTGGGCACATGAACAGACCAAGTCACAAAGACCCAAAGGAGTTACCGCTGCATGAGCCAGACCAGGGGTGAGCGCGCCTGCAGCCGAGGGCAGCCAGCACTGCCTACCTGGCCTGCTGCACTGGGCACTTGTCTGGGTTTCCCAGGAACACCTGCCGCATGACACTGGGGCTCATGAAGTCCACAAGGTTGACCAGGGCCCTGGGCACCTGAGAACAAGGCCGGGAGTAAGAGAGGGGCTCCAGGGGCTCCTCCCTCCAGCTGCTGAGTGGAGTTTGGGGAAGCACCTACACTGGGCTTTCACCTGGGATCCTGCCGGCCATGCGCCCACATGGCTGCAGTGTGAAGGCGCCCCCTGGGATGGGATGAGGTGGCAGACCCGTCTAAATGCTGCGAGTTCAGCTCCGTTCAGCCATCAGTTAGTGAACCCAAATCTGTCAGCTTTAGTGGGAGAGGTACCTTTGACCATTTCTCTCTAGCCCAGTGGTTCTCTGGGTTGCACATTAGAATCACCTGGGAATCTTTTTAAAATCCTGATTTCTGGGCCTCATCCTTCGGAAATTCTGTTTCTTTGTTATGGGGTGGGGCCACAACATTAGTAACAAAGAAACAGAATTTCCGGAGGATGAGGCCCCGAAATCAGGATTTTAAAAAGATTCCCAGGTGATTCTAAGGTGCAGCCAAGGTTGAGAACCACTGCTCTGGCCCAACCTGGACTAACTCTGCTGAGCAGGTCTGGACTCAGCCACCTGAGAACTGCCTGGTGGTCAGGGTGGCTTGCCTCCACCGGGGGTAGGGACAGAGCACATTGCTGGGCACTGGACCAGGGAAGGGCCTATTCTGGACACACTGTGTGGCCCAGAATTCAGTGACCAGCCTGGGAGTCACCCAGCTGCTGCCCCCAGGGAATGTCCCAGGTACAGGTTGGGGGGACAATTAGCACCCACACTGCCTTCCCTTGTCAAGCTGAGATCCTTCTGGGCTGATTCCAAATGCAATGAGGCTTCCCTGTGCGCCGGCCCCCGGCTCTAGAAAGGGAAGGAGCCTGCACCTTCTTTCCCGCATCCACCTTCGCCCCCTCCGTGCCTGAGCCGTGCCACCCACCTCTCTATGCAGGGTGTCCAAGGCATTGCGGAGACGGTCAAAAAAGTTGGCTGCAGAATAGAGAGTCTGGGAAGAGACAGGAGGGAGAGGAGGAGCTGGTTAAGAGGAGAGGGCTGGGGGGGGGTGAAGGCCCCCCTCGGCTCCAGCCCCAAGGACTTGTTCTCCCTCTGGCCTCCAGCTGTCACCAGCTCATCGTCGTCGGAATCTGAGATGAGCAGTCGCTGTTATCAAAGATGAGCCAGCAGAAGGCTGGAACCTTCAGCCAGAGCTTGCGTTCAGGGGCAGAAATAGAGAGTCCTCCTTCTAACTGCTTGGGGGTTCCAGTCTTTTTCTTTCTGAATTCTCAGAAATTGAAAGGGGGGGGCGGGGTAGAAGCACCATCGATCTGCCACCTGCTACCCTCACACGACCTGGGACATGGAGGTGCAGCCAGAAACCCGAGGGTCATGGGGTAAGGAGTGTGCCCGTGCACACACACAGGTGTGGTTGTGCAACCTGAGGGTCAATTCTAGGGACCGTCCTCCAAGAGGAGCTCCCAAGCCTACAGGTCGAAGTCAGGAGCCATGAGCAGGCCCGGCCCCCGTTACCGAATCTGTGCAGTAGTCACATAAGTCACTGCCTCCAATCAGCACCGTGATGACCTTCCAGTCCTCATGGAAATTTACTCTCTGCACAGAGGGAGGAAAATGCTTGATGATTTCCAACAAACAAATGCAAAACACCACAGCGCTAAGACTTCCTTGTCCACTTGAAATAATAAAACCAGAATCGCAGAGCTGAAGGGATTTTAGGTGTTTATTTATAGGTCCCAGAATCTTAGCATCAGGAGGGACGTTCAAGGTCATGGTGATCAGCCACAAACCTCTCCCCATTGACACGATCTCCTCTGAAGGGTGTCCAACGAGGGCCACCCTACCGCTGCTTGAATGCCTCTAGTGACAGGGGGCTCACTGTTTTCATAGCAGACCAGTCCGTTTGGGGACTTTTGTGGGTTAGGAAATTAGTGTTTAAAAGTAACCCTAAGTCGGACTCACGTGATCATCTTTCATCCGCTGCACCAGAGTCTGGACTTGGCTTGTAAGTTCCCTGAAAAGGAGAGGAAATGGGTCCTGTTCAGGAACAGTGCCTGGGTTTTCCCTCCTGAAGGGCCTCTCCTGGAGGTTCCCAGGGCAGGAGCCCCACTGTGTGAGCTGGCAGAGGCCCCGCGGCTCAGGGACAGGAGCTCCTTGCCTGTTCTGGAGAGTTATCACAACCAATAACCCTTTGAAAAGCCAATGGAGTGTTTGTCCTAAAGCGGTAGTCAAAGGAACTGCCAATTCTGATTGTTACTCATCATCTCCTTTCTAGAACCACCGTGCAAAGCGCCTTTTAGGATTCCATGCTAGGAAACAACGTGTCGCCTTTGAAGGACTGGTTGAGCTCCTGAAATGAGATCTTTGGAGCTTTGGCATGCTTGCTCTTTCTGCCCTGGCTGCCGGGAAGCTCGCAGTGTGATGCTCAGGCCCAGGAACTATAAAATGCTCCTCCTGACGAGTGGTTTCCTCTCCCCCAGTGGCTGTGGTTTTTCTCTTAAGTGTACGTTATTTTAAAAAATAAACTTATCTAAATGCTTTTAGAAATAAAAGGAGAATAAATCACACTGCACACCGGTGCGGGCTTATAATTTACGAAAGGACTGGATCCCGGGCATCCCGAGCTCCCACGAGTTCAGGGCCCTATGGGATGGATCCACAGCACCGTGATCTCCTGGGACCTGGCGGTGGGTCCGTCTGTCCCTATTCCCATAACCCAGGCTCAGGAAACAGGTCCGGGGCTGTGCCCATCAACCCGAGGGCATGGGCGTCAGTAAGAAGATGGCGGTGTGACAAAAGCGCAGCCGCCGGGGCCGAAACAAGGGAACCCAGGTACCTCCTTGGGAGATGGTCCTGGGAGGCTGAGCACTTCTGCTTCTGCTGCCTCCGGCTTCTCAACGGCTCTTCCTGTCAGCTCTGCAGCGGCTAGTGACAGGCCATGACTTGTTGCCCCGAGGCCTCCGAGGAAGGAGGCTCTGGCTTGCCCATCCCTTTGCTTGGCTCCCCTTTGGGGGAACTGCCACTGGTCAGGCTTTGGGGAGAGTGAGCCTCTCTAGCGCCATCACGCCATGGGGAGTTTAAAACGTTGGCTAAGGCTGGTCAGTTAGTCCAATGACGAGAACATGCTGCACAGGAGTAAGGTCATGGGGTCAGCCCTCGGAGCATGGGACCTGCCCCAGCTCCAGCCTCTCTAGGAGTCACAGGGCGGCCAGGGAAGGGAGCGCTGAGAGCCTCCCAAGTCCCTGCTGCATGTGCATAAATGCCCCCTTTGCACACGCAGGGCAGTATTACCCTGAAAGGGGGTGCCTCCCACAACCCCCCGTCCCCCCCAAATGCGTACTCAGCCTTTGCGCCCGGAACAGCCTGATTGAGGAACGCGTTGGTGTCATTGGCATCGCCTGTGCCCAGTGCGTAGCCTGTGAGATATCTGTTGAACTTCCGAAGGATATCTGCAAGAAGAGGGGGAGAATGGGGCACGGAGCTTAGGATGGAAGGCCAGGGGTCTCCTCCGGTCTAGGGCTGCGCTACCACTCTCACACAGCCCGGGGAGAGGACAGGATGGGCCAAGACAGCAAGGGCCTCCCAGCTCTCTCGCTCTCTTTTTCTTTTCTTTACAATTCCCAGAGAATCTTCACTGTCCCATTTGCTTGTCTCCTCACAGTCTGGGCCAGTTGGAGAAACGGAGGCTCAGAATGTTTGGTGACTTGCCTTTGGTCACTTGGCAGACACATAGAAAGGACAGGGCTTGACCCCACGTCTCTGGGCTTCAAAGACAGTGTTTATTCCACCCCCGCAAGCCACCTGTCCACATGCCTCTCCTCTCATTTCTTTATTTTTTACAGAATATTAATTCAGTGTTTGGTTATGCATAGATTATCTCCATTTAAAATTTAATACATGCCTCACTTATACAGCCTTTTTCTGTCCCAGGTGCTTTGAAGCAACAGAGGCATTCGTTAGGAATGCAGAAGGCAGAGCTGAGAAAGGAGCAATGGCACCCTAACCGGTTTGGCTCAGTGGATAGAGCGTTGGCCTGCAGACTGATTGGTCCCGGGTTCGATTCGGTCAAGGGCATGTGCCTTGGTTGCAGGCACATCACCAGTAGGAGGTGTGCAGGAGGCAGCTGATCGATGTTTCTCTCTCATCGATGTTACTAACTCTCTATCCCTCTCCCTTCCTCTCTGTAAAAAATCAATAAAATATATATATATATAAAGGAGCAATGGCAGCACAAGTTAACAGCATCATTGCTGTTCCGCAGAGAGCTCTGTTAGATCAGGCAGGTTCGTGGAGTTCCATATAATGTGTCTAAAAACGATCATAATTCATTTATGTTGGCCAGAGAATGACCCTTACCCAGACAGGACTCTCATTGTATTTACTTGTCAACAAGCCCCTCCTCCCAGGTCAATAGCAGTCAAAGGAAGACGCTACTTCCTCCTTTCTTAGCTGAGAAGCATCTCAAGAAACCCAAGGGTCAGATTCAAGGAGTGGACAGACTCAAGCCCCTGGTGGATACTTACTCGGCAAGGTGGTCACGGTCTCCAGGGAGCCGTCTCCTCCTGAACTGTAGGGAGTAAGCCAGTGAGATCACATCAGTACATAGGTTTGTTTGTTTGTTCTTAGCATGCATGCCATCAGATGTGCCAGACCCACCCTCTCTTTGTGTTTGAGGGATTCTGAGCAAATCTGAATTCCCCAATGGGTTGGTTCCCCCCAAATCCAGGATTTGAAGGCAAAAGAGAGCTATTTCTTCTCTCCAACAAATCAAGAGGGAGAGAACTTAGCTGAGTATCTACTATGTGTCCAGCCAGGAACTCGACTCTCTGCATTAGTTATCTCACATCTCCCAAAGCTTATGAGGTAGATGCCACTATTTCCATTTTACAGAATAGGAAGCTGAGGTTCCCTAACTTTCTAACAGCTACTAAAACCCATAAGGGTAACAAAAACCAGCTTGAGCTGGAAACCTTTAGAAAATGGATAAACTCCTTTCTGTCTAGTGTGGAGGTCAATCTCATGGCCTTTCTACCCCAGTCTAATTTCATCTCATCTAAGTTTCCTGGCCTTCAATCCAACCCTAAGACACACTCAAAATTTCCTTTCCTTTCCTGCATTAAAATTGAATATACGTGGGAAGGAGAGAAGTATACCTATTTTAACAAAGTCCAATGGTCAAATGTACTGCATTTACTGTTATTTTTTTCCTGCACTTCCCTCCTCAATCCCAGCCTTAGTCTAGACCACTGGTCGGCAAACTCATTAGTCAACAGAGCCAAATATCAACAGTACAACGATTGAAATTTCTTTTGAGAGCCAAATTTTTTAAACTTAAACTATATAGGTAGGTACATTGTTATTAACTTAATTAGGGTCCTCCTAAGGCTTAGGAAGAGCCACACTCAAGGGGCCAAAGAGCTGCATGTGGCTCGAGAGCCACAGTTTGCCGACCAGGGGTCTAGACCAATAGATCATGAAAACACAGTGTTAACATCCAGCCCACCAGGACAGGCTTCCAGAGCACAGGCCATGAGTCAAAATCATGGCTGTCCTTTACTCAAGGAACGCTTGGAATGAAGTTGTCTCTTTCATACCAGGGTGGTCAAGGGCTTACTTAAGCCAAATGCTCAGCCGTCCCTGGTGGTGGAGAGAGAGGAGCCAGGTGAGCCCTGCCCTTCCACCTCACTCAGGTCTTTCTCTCCCACCTCCCAAAAATGTCTGAACCTAACATGGCCGGTGGTTGGGCATTTGTATGAGCTTCTGATTCTTTGCCAATTCTGCACCAAGCTGTGCTTTAGCTGCTTCTGATGCTTCTTTCTTTGAACTAAAAGCACTAAATCAGAATACTCCACACTTACAAGAAAACGATAAATCATGCACTTTCTCTAATCACTGTGTTCTCACTCTGCTTCTTTTTTTCCTTCAGTAAACATGGAAACATAAACAGAGACATACATAAACACACAGGTCAAGTACTTCCTACTATAAAAGGTATCTTTGTTCTAAAGTAAGTGTTGTAGCTGATCAAGACCAATAGGCTACGGAAATCTCTCTCTCTGAGCCCATTTTAGAGTGAACATTTCCAGGAGGAAAGAGAGAATTATACGAATAAATATGGAACGGAAGTTTAAGCCCTCATTTTGGTCAGAACGATGTGAAACATGAACGAAAACGGATCCACATGAACAGCTAGTCTACAGGAGAACTGCAGACTCATGTAATTGGTATTACACCATGAGCTCAATATTACACCATGAGCTCAGCGGCTGGGCTTGCTCCTCTGCTGCCAGCACAGTGCAGGGAAACGCAGGGTAGATGCTCGGTAACACTGGCCGAGGGAGTTTCAGTAATGTGAGGCTGAACTCATCAACAAGACAAAGAAATGCATTTTCTGGTAAGTAAATTTTATTTTGGTCCTTTGAATGGTGTCCAACAAGCAAACTGAATTCAACAGAAGAAAAGGCAATGCTCTAAAGACCTCTGGCCTGCCACACCGTGAAGCTATGATTCTCACAGTTCGGGGCCTCAGAAATATTCTCAGCCAAACCTCTTGCTCATGGCCACCCACCTCCCCAAAATTCTGAGTCTACTTCTCCCCTGTCCAACTCCATGAGGCCCACCCTGTCCACTTCCCTTAGAGGAAGAGTCTCGAGTTGCATTTTAAATTTTCCTAGGATCATTCACTGTCTAGTATTTCCAATCTGGGAGCATTATTGACTTCAGGGAATTGCTTTTCTCAGATTAGTCTAGTACAGAGATCTTTAACTTTTATTCACCTTATGGCGCACATAAGCTAATTACTAAAATTCTTCGGCACACCGAAAAATATAATTTTGGCCGATCTGACAAAAAATAATTTTACATTTGATTCATTCACAGTGATGACTGGCAATCTAACGGAAAAGAAGTCAGTCCCCCTGACGAAATAGTCAGGTATTGCATGTTTTAAAATTTCTGTGGCAAACCAGGTAAAAATCGCTGGGCTAGTATGTGGACAGTTTCCAGGGGATGCTAATAGGTATACAAACAAAGAAAGCATTCGGGGGTTAAGGAAGCACTGGATTAAATAGATACAATTTTTTAAAATTTTCTTCATTGTAGATAATCTCAGAGCCTTTAATATGCTAACATGCATGTGAATTCCCCCGAGGAAGGATATAGTAGGTATTGTTTCCCCCAAAATACAAAGCATTTTTCCCTCTTCAGGAACGTGGCTGGGGCTAGTGTTCCCTGGAACACACTTTGGGGAACAGTCTATATATTCCACCATGTGTCAAGCTGTCTCTCAGACTGACCCAGAGCTTCATCTTTAACACATGGGGATCTTGGGGCAGGTATTTGAAACATTTAGAACAAGCAAAGGGTTTAAAGGGCTAGCAGCCCTTGAATAGATGAGGCCTTGGAATGAGAACTCCAAGACAAACATGAGTTCCTACTGGATCTCACTTGTAGGAAGAATCGACACAATGGCCACTTGTTCCTCCTGCTGCAGAGAGGAACGTTTAGCAGAAGATGGCCTGTGTGTATCTGACTCTCAGAACCTGTCCAGTCGAACGGTTTGTAAAATTGGGCGGATCACCTCCCTTCCCCGACTGCACGCCAGGCCCAGCGTCTCCATCACCGGGGGCGGGCGCATCTATTTTCTGTTTCCCACGCTGGGATGTGAGGCCATGGCCTCCGTTGGCTAAGACTAAATGCAGCCGCCACAGCCTCCGACTTTTTCCGGGTTGGAATAAGCTCGGCTTCCTTCCTCTCCCTCGGGTGTTTCTGCTTCTTGCAGCCTCAGTAACATTCGGGGCACAGGGGTCTGGAGGGGAGGCTCGGCTTTGCTCCGATACAGCCTGCTAGTGACCGCTTACCTGGCCGAGGTATGTGGGAACCCGGGGGACATCAGGGCTGGGAGGCGATTCCCTCAGCTCCCAGGGTGATGTTCTCATGCTACCCACGCCCTGGATCCTCTCTGTGGGTGGCTACAGGCTGAGTGGGGACACCTCTCTCACCTGGCAAACCTGTCTCTCTGAGACTGTCTTCAGGGTTGACCAGAGAACTGTCACAGCCCTAAGCACCCCAGTGTTCCCTCTCACTTTCTCAGAAGAAGCGAATCATTTGAATTCACTGTGAAGGAAAGGGAGGAGGAGGCAAGCCCATCGCGGGGCCACCCAGCTTCTCGTTAGCACTCTGCCCCCTCGTGGCTGGCTTTGTTCTAGGTGCTCTGAATCCTGAGCTAATCGCCAATGACTGTGCAGCGTGCTTCAGTGCGAACTTTATTAGGAAAGAAGCTTAAGAATACCCACATCTAACCGCTCCCCTGCTCTTCTACTTCTGTGGCTGGAAAGTTCTCTCTCTCCCTTTCCGCCTGCCTAATTGCTAATCTGTCAAGACACGACTGGGGTCCCACCTTCTCTGGGAAGCCAGGTTGGTATTCCCCCTTCTGCATCCCTGTGGCACTCGGCCACCTCCTATTCCTACAGAGCACTTGCCGGATGAGCATACGCATTTGCCTGTGTTCCCCATACAGCCCCCTCATTCCACGTGTGTTGGCTGTGATTTTGTCTTGGTCGTTTCCTCCCGAAGTGTAGTGCATTGTGGAGTTTTCTGTATAGGTGTGTACATACACGTACAGGCAGAGGTGCGACTACAGACCGACACGAATGGATACATATAGACAGTAAACAGAGACGTGGTGCACATAGACACGCAAACAGGTGGGTGAAGATCAGAGAGCTGGTGTTTTTCGGGTGCATTTCATGTTGGATTTGCTGAGCCAGGAGTCTGATAAGGACCCTGGTTTGCTTTTTCTGCACAATTTAAAAAAAAAAGAAAAAGAAAGGTCACCAACAATCAAAGATCTCTCTTCTCACCGCATGGTCACATTTGGCAGACATACATAGAGGTTTTTCTTCTGAAAGCCCCTTCCAGACCTGGTCCCAGCTCTTTGGTATTTATATATTTACAGGAGACAGACACCACCTCCTCCCCCGCCCCCCCACCCCCCAATCTCTGGGAGTGAACATGGGATGGGAGGGGGTCAGGGTTAACATTACCTATATGACAGCCCCCGATACTGGGTGGTGACATCAGGAAGGTCGTCTGGTTTGGAGCCAATTCCATTGCCAGCCTTAGGAAACACACAAACATCCAGGAAGATCAGCAAGTGAGAGAGTGCGGAGGCTGCGGGTGTGCAGGTGGTTCCCAGCCCACTCATTGCGCGTGAGCAGAACGCTGGACGGGAGTCAGGAAAGCTGGGCTCGCGGCCTGCAAACCGCAGCTGCCTCCTCACTGCACGGAGGGCCTGGTTGGCTTATCTCACAGGGCTCTGCTCATGACCAAATGGGATCAGAGTTGTAAAAATCGGTTTGGAAAGCCTCTGGAGTGCTTTACAAATGGGAGACACGGTTATGGTATTACTATCTGGAGTTCCCCCTAAGCACGAAGAAGAGGTCATAGATCCGGGTGGGCTGCAGTGGGCAGATTTCTCATGAACTTTACGCTTCTCTCCTCCCCCTTCCCCCCCCCACCCCCCCACTTCCCGCCCGGGACCTTCTGTAAGGCAACCCATGGCTTTAGAAGAGCTGCCTGAACGCGGCCCTCTGGGATGGTAGAGCCCTGTTTCTCGGAACTTAGGAGCAGCCTTCAGCCACAGCTCTGGAGCCACTGCTGCTCTCCGTGCAATGCAAAGAGGAAAGGGTATGAGCTGCTTGTAAAGCATCATCCAAAGGAGAAGTGCACCCACACGGGGAGGTGTAGGGGATTTTTTGAGTCACAGTGGCATTTTTGCAATGGTTAAAAAAGTGTAGTTAGGTGTCTCAACCCTCCACTACCTGAGAGAATTCAGTTCACTCCCGAAAAAGACCTCCCTTTGCACACCCGAGTGAGAAAGGGGCTGCGAAACAAGCCGTCGCCATGTTCTGATGGACAAGGCCAGAGCAGAGAGGGGGGCACTGCAGGGGTCGGGAGCGCAGGCCCCGGAGTTGGCACTGGCACCGGGAGCTGACGCAGCCACCCCCACGCCACCCAGGGCCCGAGTCCTTACAGTCAGAGAATCCCCCAGAGCGGCCACAACTCGGATATCTGCAGGTCTCAGGGCGTGCACTGGAGAGACAAGTGGGCACACTTGAGTCTGCGGGAAGGAAGCTGCAGTCGGAGTCTAGTGCTTCTTTAAGAAAGATCAGGAAAGCCAGCGCAGGGGCGCTGGGGCCTCGCAGGCCTGAGGGTCCATGTGCCCTGAGGCAGGGGTTATATAAGGACAGACTTTCCCCATAAAGAATCCTGGACCTATGGAGGGAGAGGTGCAGGGAGAGAGGAAGAAAAGGGAATGGAAGGAAGGATGGGAGGAAGGAAGGAAGGGAAGCAGGATGGGAGGGAGCGGGGGAAGGAGGCAAGATGGCGGGATCCCACCACTGTGGGGCCAGCTCTCATGTGGAATACCAGCTGTGACCCCAGTGCACAACCAGATGGGCACTGCGCCATCTGAGATGCAGATCAGGGCCTGATGCCCAGCCCATTTGGAGCTGGTTCTGGATTTCCAACAACAACTGAGAAATAATCAGATCAGGCCTTCCTGTGCCCCCAGTGCCTTCTAAAGCCTCCAGGGAGCTTTGCAGCCCTGCAGGCGACAGGGATCGCAGAGCCTGGAGCCCCAGGACAACTCATAGAGCTGGGTCGCTCCTGGGACTCCCGCGGCACCCCACACCCCTCCTCTGGGCCTCAGTGAGGTCAGACCACCGGGCTAGGCCACTGGATGGGAGGTCACAGGGCTCCTCCCTGTGTTCCCGTTAAGGGGCTGACGTGGAAGGGCAGCGAACAGCTCCTGGCCTGGCACCTGGGGCCTGCCAGGTGAGACATGTCACAGGGCAGAGGGAGACAAATCAGGGACTTGTCCCAGGCGACCGCCCAGACAGGAAGCAGGCACTGAATTATGATGGAAAATGCTGTCAGAACATTCATTGGCTCCTGCGATCTGTGGAGAGCCCTGGGTCCCGGTGTATCGCCGAGGGCTCACCTGAGGTGGGCGGTGAGGCCGAAGGGGTTGTGTCCCCGCACAGCAGCTGGCTCCCATGACCCTAAGGGCATAGAGTGAATCTCAGGGGTGGAAGGACCTGAGCAGAGAGCTTTAACAAACACAGACTCCTGCCCCCTCTGCCTAGAAGGAGGAGCCTAGAAGGGCATTGAAGAAGGCTCCCGAGGTGATTCTGAACATCAGCCACTCCCGGGATCTGCTAACCTAGTGCAGACCCCTCTACCAACTAATGCAAGAATGGGGGCATCAGCAAAATGACCCCCCCACCCCCATCCCGCTTCTAAAGCAGCTTTATGGGGAGGATGGGGTCTTCACCTATGTTTTTGCTGACGCTGCGATTTGACAGGCTGGGCCCATTCTGGGCTGCTATTGATGGAGCTTACCCCGCCCTGCACCCCGCCTGAGGTGTAGGTGGACGGACTTTATAAAAGAGTGTGAACCCCTTGTTCTCACCCACCCTGTTGGGCCAGTCCCAGCTCAGGGGCCGCCCCATGCATTGGCTGGTGAGATGAAAGAAAGCAACAGGCAGATACCTGCACGCTGTTCTTGTAGGTGCTCAGAAACGGCGAGTCCTGTGAGAAGAGGGGGGTGAGCAACCACGGTGAATCCGGCTTGCTTCCTGCTCGCCCACTCTAAGAGGTGCTGACCTGAGCACAGACACTTAAACACCTATGGCCTCCCCGCTCCATACGGTGAGCCCCTCCCTGCCAGGCTGACCCTGGAGCTCCTTCCCAGGATGCACTGGGGCCCTCTCTGCAGCCCTGACCCAACTTGAACTCACAGGAACAATTAGAATAAACCCTGCTCCTGGGAAGACCAGGTCTGCTCTTCACCTCCCACCCAGCTGGCTGGGCGGCTGTGTCACCTCTTTCTCAACCCTGCCCCTCCCAACAGAGCACCACTCTCTTCGAATACAAGCCCTGTCTCTACGCCCTAGGCCCCCTTGCCACCCCCTGCCACTCCTACCCTGCAGCAGCCTGGGCTCCTTCCTGCCCAGGCAAGACCAGCCAGGCTCTCTGAGGTCCTGCCTCACGCAAGCCCAGCTCAGTGGGACCCACTGGGAACACAGAGGAGCTCACAGAGGCGAGGGAGCAGCTGCAGAGGCCTAAGAATCTCCCAACAATATGTGAGTGAGCATGGGGGCTTGATCCGCGTTGCCTTCCTGGCTAATGTCTGTCTTCCCAGCTCCAGCTTCCAAATGACCAGCCCACCCCCATCCCAGCAGATGTTATTCTGGTCTCAGTTCCTCGCTCTTCCCATCGTGCCGTGGAGACAGTGGCCACATGGCGATGAAGTGTCCTTCTGTCCCATCCTGCCCTTGACCTTCTCCCCACCCCCTTGCCTTCCCAATGAGAGCTGGGTGGTGATGTGTGTTCCTCTTTCTGCCTGGAAAGAGCAGCTCGTAGCCCAGGGCTGTGCCAGGGCTCGCTGTGCCAGGAAGAGATGGAGGAGCCCTCTAAGGCAGTGATGGCGAACCTATGACACTCATTTTGAACTCATTTTTTTGGTTGATTTTTCTTTGTTAAATGGCATTTAAATATATAAAATAAATATCAAAAATATAAATCTTTGTTTTACTCTGGTTGCAAATATCAAAAAATTTCTATATGTGACAAGGCACCAGAGTTAAGTTAGGGTTTTTCAAAATGCTGACACACCGAGCTCAAAAGGTTCGCCATCACTGCTCTAGGGCCTCCTGGCCACAGGGCTGTCATCCATCACAGTCCAACCAGACAGGGCACTGTGGGTGGTCACCCGGAGCCTGGGATGTGTGAGTAGGCGAACAGAGCTGTGGTGTTCAATGAACTGAGAAACCTTCATGCGACGTTAAAAGGCTGGAAAAGATGCTTCAGACGGAGCCGTCGCAAGAATGTGCTTTTACTGTACCTTGTTCGGACATGTGATATTGATCTTGCTTTCAAAATCATGCCATCTTGCCTTCTGGCCAACAGGTTCCAGCTAAACCAAGAAGCAGGAAGGCGGGGAGTGAGAAAAAAGGTGGTAAGAATGGAAAAGTCAGGCCGTGGGTCAGGGCTGGAGAAGGGAGCGAGGGACAAAGACATGGATCTACGATCGTTGCTGTGCCGGGACTCACAAGGCCTGAGGGACGGGCCTCTGAGGTCCCGAGAAAGGTTTCTGGAGTCTTTTTCTTAGCAGAGGAAGGACACTTTTCCCGACCTCGGGCATCTTACCATGTTGTTCCAGAGAGCACTGCCTGAGTGCGCATGAGACTTCTTGCTGAAGTGGAAACAGTCCGGAGCGAAGAAAGAGCTGTCCGGCAGCCCCTCCTGGGCACAGGGCAGAGAAGAGGGGCTGTGTTAGGGGACGCTGGGCAGCACAGATAATGCTCAGACACAGCTGGGCGCTACCTGTGCCCCCCATTTCTCCACGGTGCGTGCTTTCTTTACCGGGGTCTTGGGCAGGTCCACTTTTTCGAAGAACGGCTGCACGACCACCGTGAAATCTTCCCTCGTGTCGTATCGCCCACCCTCGACCAGCTGGTGTGTCCGCTCCTGCGGGAGGCAAACGGGACGGGGTCAGGGCTCGCTGCACCTGCTCCGTCTTTGTGCCGCATCTTCTCTGCCACAGAACGAAGCGGTGTCTGAACTTCGAGTAAAATCGATCTGCAGCCAAAGCTCAACTGATCAGGAGTCAGCTGGTATTTTTTAGACCAGCCTTTATCTCAACCCCTGTCCTCAGCCTCTGCTGCCATTGCACACATTTGACCTTGGAATGTAGGGAAAAATCTAAGTCCATCAGCTTGATCCTCTTGTAAAGCTCTTGATTAAAATTTGGGGAGAGGGCCCGGCTGGTGTGGCTCGGTGGTTGAGTGCCAACCTATGAGACAGGAGGTCACGGTTCAACTCCTGGTCAGGGCACATGCCCGGGTTGTGGGCTCGATCCCCAGTGTGGGGTGTGCAGGAGGCAGCTGGTCAATGATTCTCTCTCATCATTGATGTTTCTATCTCTCTCTCCCTTTCCCTTCCTCTCTGGAATCAATAAAAAAATATGTATTTTAAAATCCGGGGAGGGGTACATATTTGATTAAATGACTTGTTGGGATAATCCTTACATCTACTTTATTTCTGTCCTACATTTGTTCAGAAAATCCAACGTGAGTCCACAAGGCCATTTAACGCCTATTTATATAGCGTGTGCGTGGTGTGTGTGAGCATGAGGGCTCCCGTGCCTGCACACCCCTGTGAGCCGCTCAGGTCTGTCCAGGAAGGTAATGAAGCTGTTCCTCTCACAGCTTCCACTTGGGCTCAGTTCCAGGAGGACCAATTAACCCAGTTCTGGCTCCCGCTCCTGCCAGACTGCCGTCTCACTGCTTGCCAGGTGCTCACCATTCAGGGCCGAAACCCTGGCTACAGAGGGAGGTCAGGTTTGCAAACCCGAGAACATTCGTGTGGTCACTTCAGAAGACACTATGCACTTTCTTTGCCCAGGGACAGCCGGAAAGAGAGCCCTGTACTGGGAGTGCCTCAAGTTTGACCTCCCAGGGGAATCTCCTGGTTACAAGCAGAGCCTCGAGTAAGGCAGAGGGTGCGATGCCACTAGCTAGCTGGTGGGTTTCAGCAAGATGCTTTCCTTCTCTAGACCTCTATTTCCTCATCTGTAAGTGGAGGATGTTTGGCAAGACCTGGACCATCACTGAAGTCCTTTCCAATGCTACTGGCTACTCCACGGATCAACCACGATGGCTCACAGTGGCACCATGCATCTCGAGAAAGGAAAGAAACCGTGTCTAGAGTGCCTGGCGCCTGCTGGCACTAATAGCAATGATCGTCTTCAGGGAGAGTGACGGGAACCCATTGCTTTTGCTGGAAGTAGGGAGGGAAAGGGTCCTGAGAGAGGGCCTGGGGGCGTCAGGTGGCTGAGCTGTGAGTTCCTCCAGGACACTAAGTTAGAGTCTCAGTGGTAGCAAGATCAGGCCTGGAACAGCTGGCCAATCTAGAAAGGTCGGTGCAGGTAATTTTGGTGAATTGTTCTTCTTTTTGTCTACCCAGCATCTGAACCCACTTTTTAAAAAAATATATTTTTATTGATTTCAGGGAGAAAGGGAGAGGGAGAGAGAGATAGAAACAACAATGATGAGAGAGAATCATTGATAGCCATTTCCCGCATGCTCCCTACTGGGGATGGAGCCTGCAACCTGGGTGTGTGCCCTGACCAAGAATTGAACCATGACCTCTGGGTTCATAGGGTGACGCTCAACCACTGAGCCACGTCGGTGGGGCTGAACCCACTTTCTATGTTTGAGAAACTCCTCTGTTAGACAGCAGCCTGCCGCTCACTGTAGGAGGTAAGAAAGGCAAATACTGGCTTCTCAATGCCCCTCACAACCAGGCCAAGGGCATGTGCCGGGGGTCCCCAATGGATGCTCCCGCCTCAGGCGTGGGGTTGGAAACTAGTGGCAGAAAGATGGAGGCACACAAGCTCCATTCTGCAGAGGGTAGCACCTGCATCCAGTGGTGTCCATGGTGTCTCCCGGGACTAGTTCTTTGGCCTATTTTGATTCTTATGGTTTGGTCCCTAAAATTCCACAATTCTGGTGGCTTGGCCTCTGACCTTACTTTTCTAGATCTTTCCGATATTCGGATAAAATAATAAATCTGATTAAATTAACCAGAATGACACAAGCTTTTGTTGCTTGAACCCAAGAACCCCATCTGGACCAGGTTAGCCCTCCTGGCCATAATCTCCGCTGCCTTCCCTCTCCTGCTGCGGGCCTTGGAGACACAGCGCCTGCTCACAGAGGAGGAGGTACAGTGGGCAGACACCCAGAGGGCTGGGCAATGGCGTCGGAGCCTGACAGATAGGGATTCATTCTCCTGAGCCCTGACACCCCTGGCAGGTGTGGCTCTCCCGAAAGGGTCTGCAGAGCAGTGGTTCTACTCTAAGGAGTCCTTGGACTTGAAGGACGAGCCCACTCTGGATGCTGTTTGCAGGCCACTCTCCACGGGCTGGGAGTGACTGGACACTTAAATTGGGGGAAGACAAAATAGAGTCAAGGGAGTCAGCTGCTCTGGTCAAAGCTTTGATGGGGAAAGGCCTAAAATGAACGACCCACAGGATGTCTGGAGACCACCTGCTGACTCTCTTTCTCCTCGTGCTCCCCAATAACACCCGTTCCCCTGGGAGGGGGGAGGGGGGGACACAGGGAATGCATGTTCTCTCACGGAATCTTCCAGACTCCGTTGGGTGGAAAGAGTTTCCCACCGGGAGTCAGAGGCTCCTACCCATTCCCCATGGACAACCGGAAGGAACTGAGACTTGGTGGTGTGTGCTCGGCGGCCTGGCTCTATGGCTGATAAGATAAATGGAACCACGGTCCCCGCCGCCTTGCAGGGTGTCTTTAAATATGCAAACTGGTCAGAGGTAACCTCACACCCAGTGGGGGTCCCAATAACTTTGGCACATTCTCCCTCCAACCTGAGCAACCATACCCACAGCAGCTCCGTGCAGCTCAGAGCCCTTTCCCGCCTCACCTGATACTTCTTATTCAATTCGACGAGGGAGGCAAGCTCTGTTGAGTTATCCTCATACTTCAGGACACAGGGACACAAATTCCTGCGGAGCAAACAGAAGGGGTGCCCCACCCCACCAAGTCACCGTCTGAGTGCGCGATGCAGAAATGGCGGCCTGAGATTCGGAATCTGTTTGACTTGGAGGTATCAGGGGTCTGTGCTAACGCTCACGGGGCCCTGGCTGGCTGACCTGTCCACGGCACCAGATGAAACAGAAAATCTCCCAGACCTGGATTTGCTCATGAAGATGAAATAGTCACTTCTGACATCTGCAGGAGTGATTTTTACGGAGCTGAGTTGCCTCATGACTGCCTGAGGACAGTGCAGTGCAGGTAAGGCACACCTCCTTTTAAATAGTAATAGTGATAACGATCCTAATAATGGCTAATGCATATTGAATAGCTACGGTGCTGAGAGTCTTCTGGGTATTAACCTGTGCGGTTCTCTTGAGCTTTTCTAGAAGCTGTATTACCATTATCCCCATTTTACAGTTGAAAAAACTGAGGCTCAGTGTGGTGATTTTCTCAAGGTCACATGGATGTAAAGGGTAGGAGCTAGGACTTGAACTCCAGCACCTTAATTCCTGGTTAAACTGCTTCTGTCCAGTCTGTAGCCCTGATCTGGGCTTTTCGTCCAGGGGGATAAGGTGATAATAGTGTGGATAGCTCAGTCTAGACTCAGCCCCACCGCGGAGACAGAACAGCAGAGAAGGCAGCGCACTGGAGAGGTGGCAGGACAAGGTGACCTTGAGCCTGTCTAACCCACAGTCGGTGACTTGGCCGTCAGATTTGAAAACAAACGTGGCAAATGCCTCCTCTGAACCTTCAGCTTTGACTGAAAACCTTGCAGTGATTGGCAGCGAGAGACTCTTGGGTGAGCTGCTCTGAAATGGAATGAAAACACGGAACCCCACGTGGCCCAGGGACCGGAGAAAGCGGGAGCCAGCGGATGCGTCAGCAGCTGAAAATAGCACGACTGACACCAGCTGTGTTAATAGGCGTGTGTCATCCAGCAGCCACCCTCCTGCTCTCAGCACCCTCAGGCCTCCTGGGGGGACCTACGCAGTCTGGGCCCCCAGGTGAGGTTTGGCACGGATCTTCAGGGGACCAGCCAAGTCCCCTTGCATTTCAACGAGCAAACCTGGCCCTTGTGAATTATTCATTCAGCCATTCAGCCAGCAGCCGCTGAGCCCCTGTGCTGTGCTAGCAGTGACTCAGACACAGAGTTCAGGGCTGTGGGGGAGAGGCACATGAATAATTACCATGTGATATGCTTGGGGGAGAAGGGGGGTACAGAGCTGGAGGCAGTGGGGGGATGGGCAGAGCCACCATGACCTCAGCTGATGGTCCGGAGGAGGCCTTGTGGGAAGCACTGCTGATGGAATGTTTGTGCTTGGGTTAGAAGGACATCTTGTTCCTGAGGGTCACGCAGACGTGTGATACCATAGAGGGCACCCCCTCTGTTTGGCTTCCTAGGACCAGGGTGTCTGTTCTCCAGGGAAGACTCTGTCCTCTGGACCCTCTTGGTTCTGATTGGAGCACCTGCTCTTCCATTGAGTGACAACAACCCTACATTTGTGAGCACCCAGCCCGGAGCACCATGCCAGACAGAGGCTCCCTCTGTCCTAGAGATGGGCCCCTGGGTGTGGGGGGTGGGGGGAGCTCTGCAGACACTTAAAAGTAGGCCCTTGCAGAGCCCAGTGAGCCTGGCCCACACAGGCCCCTTCGTGCCTCACGCTCAACTCTCCCCTCCCTGGCGAATGGAGGGTATCCTGAGCTGCCACGACAGCAGAAGCATGTTGGGTTGCAAATGCATATTCCAAGGAAATAGAGTAGCTGAGCTCTAAACTGGGGTCATAAGTCTCCTCCATTAGACCTTGTCAGGTTAGAAATTGGGGCGGGCCTGGCACTCCTCACACTGCCCTCGGCTTTCCTAACTCATCAGAGTCACTTTCTGCTCGGGGTGCTATGGCCCTTTCAGGCACAGGAGTAGGAGCTCACCTGAGGATCAGCCTGGGGCAGTAGACTTTCTTCTCATAGTACAGCTCCCTCAGGTTGACGATCTGCAGCACCTTCACCAGGTTCACAAACGCCCGAGGGACCTGAGCAAAGGCAAGACCAGTCCCTGAGATGCTGGAGGCCGGGCAGTCCCCCTGTTGGCTGTCAGGTCCATGGCCTTCCATCTGGCCCCATCCACTTCCTTCATCTCCGCCTCTCCCTCCTCCTCCGCATCGACACCCATGTGTTCAGGCCGCTGGGACCAGGACTGACAGCATGGTCGTGCTGGTCTCCGGGTAAAGGCACCCGGAAAAGGCACCCCAACCAGAAGTCAGAGCCGCCTCCCGGCTAGTCTGAGGCCCGAGGGGAACTGTGGTTGAGCTGCTCAGAGGCCCTGTGACCCGGCCCCAGTACCTCGGCATGGAGGATGTCCAGAGCCTTCCCAATGTTGTCCGTGAAGTTCTGGGGGGAATAGTGGGCCTGCAGGAAGAGGAAACATCTAAGACCATTCGTCACCCAATCTCTACGCAGACCAGGGCGGCTTCTTCTCTCGGGTCCCCTCCTTCCTATATTTCAGCCAGAATGGGCAACACGGGAACACAGGTTTGCCTTGGGGCCCTCAGCCTCCAGACCAACCCTACAGCCCGCAGGCTGATCGTGGCCGGGACCCCTTTCTTTTACGCGGGAAGCACCCTTTCTCCTGCGTGGAGCGATGGAAAGCTCTGGGTCCACTTCCTGTCAACTCGACGCAGGGCCTTCGCTAAGGCCCAGCCCACCTCCGGGTCCCTCTAAACTGGGGTGTTGGAGCAGAGGACCTCCAAGAGCCCCTGCAGCTTGCACATCCTCTGGTCCTCTGCCCTGACCTCTTCTGCTTAGGCAGGGGTGGGGAAGGTTCTGTCCGAGGGCCATCTAAGGCCCGAGACATCATTTGGTCTGGCCCTGCCAAGGCATTAGGGGTGAGTTAATTAAATGTTTGACCAAAGACAGCCGGCCAATTTTTAAGCTGCTAGTTTTGTATGGCCTGCCAATGATGTTATAAATATCCAGATGGCTCTTGGCAGAGAAAAGGTTCCCCACCCGGCCTCACGTGCCGGGGAACCCACAGCCCAGTCGAATCACTCGAGGAGACAATGGAGGGGAAGAGGGTCCGTGAAGCCCTCTCCCAAGCATAAACACACTTTAATGGTTATTTCTCTTGATTTCGATGTGGTTCTTAAACCTTTTTAAAGCAGTGGCATCCTTTCTGAATGAAGTGTAACCAAAAGCCTTGCTCTACCAAACAGATCAAAGTTGCAGGGAAGTGGTGGGGGGCCCTTGATTCCACCTCCCCACTGGCCCCCGAGCCCCAGGGCTCCGCTGTGGGCCCCTTACACCATAGCTTGAAAACCCCAACCCCGGTGACTTTGATGCCAGGAAAGGAGGGGTCTGGGGAGCAGGGTCACCCGCAAGACTCACCACTTCCTAAATTTTGCTCAGCGGGTCCCTTTTCTGCCTGACAAATGTCCTAGACTTCAGTGCCAGCTGGGAAGTCTCCTACTCTGTGTGAACTCTGACACTCCTCCCACCCCCACGGCAAATTCCCAATTCCGAGGGCAGTTCTGCCTTCAGTGTATCACCAGAACCACACACGGGGTTTCCTCATCGTGTTATGGTGAACTGTCTGTGTCTCCCTCCCCTGACGATATTGAGTTTCTTGAGGACAGAGCCTGTGTTTTCACTTGTCTGCTTAGCTCCTAGTACCGTGCCTGGCATATAATACGTGCCCAGCAAACGATACTAGAAATAAAAAAAAAAGTCCTGTTTATCAGAAAACACTGTAAACAAAGCTAAATGGGAGACAACAAATAGGCAATGTATTTGAAAAAGGGTTAGTATACTTGATATAAGGGGTTTTTGTAAATCAATAAAGATAAATGCCTTAACAGAAAATGGCCAAAAGGCATAATATAGAATTTATCTAAAGGAGAGATTCAAACAAAGGAAATAAAAATGTATTCCTACCTAGAAAGTAAATAAATACAAAATTTGAAAACGATACAATTTTTTCATTGATCAGATTAGCAGTTATTAAATAACATGCATTGCCGGTTGGAATGGGGAGAAATAGGCATAATTGGTATAAACATTCTGGGAGCCATTTGGCAATATGTACACAAAGCTTCAAAAATGTGCTGAGTCACCCCAAAATGAGATAGATGGATAGGTATATGTTAATGTAGCACAATATTAACAACTGTACAGTCTCTGTGGTGGGTGTACGGGCACTTACTGCACCAGTCTTTCAGCTTCTCAGCATGTTTGGAAATTTTCATAATAAAACATGGGGGGAAATATACATATCTTTTTGCTTAGAGAGCTTACTACTCAGAATATACACCAGGAAATAGTTGTGGATGGAGATAAAGATGGTTGTTTATCCTGGTGTTATTTATAATAGGCCTAATTAGAAGTACTGTAAGCTAAGTACCCAATTATGGCCAATCTATATTATGGGCTACTATATGGCAACTAAGAATTAAACGTTGATATGCGAATATCTTCCTAATGTGTTGCTGTTGAAAAAAAGCAGGTTACCAAACAATATTTTCAGGTTGATACCAGTTTTAGAAAACAAGAAAGCATTTTCTCCATATATTTACAGAAAATGCTAGACACATATCAAAATGTTAACAACGGCGTTTCTAGATGTTGTAAATATGTTACAGAGAATATTATTTTCTCTGTACTTTGATATGTTTTCTGTGTGTATTATTTGTACAATAAAAACAAACAAACACCCTACTTAAAATGAAGTCAGCTGAATTGAGTGTAAAAGAGGCCTGCCCAGCATAGGCAGACATCACCAGGTAGATTTGGGCTCAACACAAAGAAACACTGTAAAGCAATTACACCGACTCAGAATACTAGTTAGGGCTACCTTACAAGTTAAAAAGCTGCCCATCACTGGAAATGTTCAACAACTGGATTCTGCAAAAGGCATTTTTGTTGTGGGTGGAGACTGGCCAGGATGGCTTGTGGGGTTTCTTCGAGCTCAGAGAATCTGGGAGTCCAGGAAGAAGCACCGAACCCACAGGGTAGCCGCCTGGCCCCTGGGTTTCCCATCAGCCCAGAATGACTGGGCTCTCAACTTTGCCCAAGTGCCTGCATTAGGAAATCAACTTTCCCATACAAGTGGCAGCACAGAGGCGGAGATGGCGAGGCAGCTCAGCATTGGAGAAAGGAGCTGACTTACAATGATCTATGAAGAGATGCCAGGTTTTTTGGGAGCATTGGAATGTTATCTTGGTTTCTAGAATGATAGGATCAGGCTCCCTCGACAGAAAACCTGATCAGGATTCACCTCATTGGCAGTGCTGCTCGTCCTGTTGAAATCTCATCCTGGAGGTAAATGCCCTCTCGGTCTGGGGGTTATTCCCAGGTTGGATCCATGCCAGACCTCAAGCCCCAAATCCCAACCCAACGGCACTGCTCCAGGCACCTGGAATGGAAATCCGTCCCTGGGGGTAGCGGGGGTGGGGGGTGGGGGGAGGCCTTGAGTTAAGGGCCTGGGACCTACCGGATCATTGCAGAAATCACAGAGGTCATTGCCTCCTATAAACAGGGTTATAACCTTCCAATCTTCCTGGAAATTTATCTTCTGAAATGAATAGAAAACAAACCAGTAAATGCCTTACCCCAGAGTCAAATCAAGGAAAATGCAAATGCTGAACACTGTCAGGGATGGGTCCTCACACACCACAGGGTTTAGAGGACACTGACATTTCCTGTTCTTTGGTTTTGGGGTCCTGAGGTCATAGGTCACAGGTCGTAGGTGCTAAATCATTGGTTGTTTTTTTTCAAAAGGTGGACTTTCTGGACTTCCACGTGGCCGGGTCCTCCCCCTAAGCCGACTCTCTGTCTCCATGGATTTCTCCCGCCCAACCCCTGTTCTGGGGAGTCTGACCTCAAGTGGCCCCAGGCGGCTCCTCCCCCAGACTTACCGTGTCATTCTTCATCAGGCCCACCAGCCTCCTGGCCTGATCAGGTAAATCCCTGCGGGCAGACCCGGGAAGAAGTCATGTGAGAAGCTGGGACTGTGAAGCTGGGCTGGGAGGGGACTTGGCAGAGGACAGGAATAAAAGAAACAGCAGGAAAGTTGGACTGAAGGCCATGCTGGGGGTGGGGTAGGGCGTCCTGTCTATGGATGAGCGGAACACTCCACGGATGAGGCGGCGACTGCTGGTGGACTTGTCTCCTGATTGGCGTATTGGATTACACACTCTGCCTCCCCAGCCAAGCTCGCTCAGGGCGAACGGAGGCTGCATGTGAGCGTTTCGTGTCATGCATGGCTCTTGCCGTGACCTCAGCCTCAAAGGGCCCTCGCCCTCAAGGTGACATAGCTGAGTCAGACACATCTGGGTTTGACATTTAGTTACCTCTTGCGAACTGTAGGAATGTGACTTATTTTCCTAGTTAAAAAAACACCACACAAACAAAAAAAAACAAAACAAAAAACCTGCAAACATGGAGACAAATCCCCAGTCTTAGAGGGTCACTGGGAGCAGTGAGTGAGATGGTCAGAGCCGCCCCGTGGAGGAAGAGCCTTCACGAGTGCCAGGCAGCATGTGTTTGAGTGCTGGTCCCACCACTGGCCAGCTCTGAGACCTTGGCTAGTACTTGCCTTGCCCACCCTCAGTTCCTTCCTTTTAAGAAGGGGTGGTAAGCATACCTTCTTCACAGAGTTGCTGGGCAGACTAAATATGGTGCCGATAAAGAACTCAGAACAGCACATGGTGAGCGTCCATATTATACAGAATCCACTGAAATATTTGTACCTCATCATCACCATTACCACCAATAAAGTCCCTGGCACAGGGCCTAGCAGGAGACATGAGCTGTCTTCCTCCTCCTCTCAGCTACTAGCCCAACTGGCCTGGTCTTAGTCACTATAGACTAGGTACCAGTCAGCCTGGGTAGGAATTCTGGGTAAGCCAGGTAACCTCTTTGAGGCCCGATTTCCTCATCTGTGCTTTTGAAGTTATCAGATGTGGGGCCAGAGTTTGGGGTGATTCACTGACCTCTCTGAGCCTCAGTATCATCATTAGGAAAACATGGGTTTCTGACCCTCTGCTTCGTCCCTCTCACAGTGACTGTACGGAACACACGGAATAACAGAAACAGAGGCACCGTGTGACTGGTGCACTGCTGTACGGGTATAAGGGGTGATTATCAAACCCGGATGACCCTGCACGGCACAAAGCCACCAGGCCATGTCATCCAGACGATGCATCTGTCCAGGCCGCTTGGCCTCTTTGTGCTCCCGTTTCTGTGATACGGGAATAAAACCTCTAACTCTTCCCTACAACCCAGGATGTGCGCGGGCAAATGGATTCCTGGCACGAAAGAGCCCCGAGGCCTCTGGGGAAGCGGGGAAGAAATCACACTCCGTTTGGGTTACTCCGATGGCTAAGGTTTCTTTCCAGGGTGCCTCCCTGACATAGGCCTGCAAAGCCCAGAGCCTGGAAAGCATGTCTGAAACCATGTCTGAGGAAGGGACAGGGAAGAGGGCATGAAAGATGAATAAAATAAGAAAAACGGAACCTTAGAGAGAACCCTCCTCTGGTCACTGTCTTATGTGGACATGAGATTCACAGAGGAGGAAAGGAATTTGCTCAAAGCATATACCTGGCATCAGAGTCAACTGTGACTCGTTTCCGGGGTGGAGTTGGAGGTAGGCTAGCAGCTTTCTGTGTCCCACAGCAAGGGACACCCCAAGAAAGCCCATCTCGTCCAGGCTTTGACCCTCAGGCCCTCCCCCTGGACCAACCTCCCCAGCTGTCATATATCCCAGTCTTGGCCAAGCCCCCAACTAGGTCCCCAGAGGACCTGTGCGTTCACCCCCGGGCCCCCCTACTCACACGGCTCGGGCTCCGGCCACAGCCTGGTTTAGGAAGGCCCCAGGGCTGTCTTGTTTCCCAGTGCCAACAGAAAAGCCCCTCAGGGAAGGGTTGAATTCCCGGAGGATGTCTGGAAATACAAGGAAGACACATGCTCAGGAGACCACAAAGCAACGTTCAAATTCCTCTAATAAGCGCCAGTGGGTATTCAGGGCCAAGCAGAGCCTGGGCAGCACACCCAGCTACTTAATGAATTATTGTTGAATAAATGTGAGTCTGAGTAGTGCTTCTCTCATGCATTTTCCTCCCCCGCCAACATATAACTTTATGGAGATAATTCACACACCATTTATAGTATACAGTTCAATTTGCTTTAGTATATTCATACAGTTGTGCATCCATTACCACAATCAACCTTAGACCATTTTCATCACCCCAAAATGAAACCCTGTACCCATCACCCCAAAGTGAAACCCTGTACCCATCACCCCAAAGTGAAACCCTCCACTCCCTCCAGTCACTCTCCATTCCCTCCAACCCACGGCAGCCATTAATCTATCTTCTCTCTATACAATTGTACTTATTCTGGACATTTCATATAAAAGGAATCATACAATACAATAGGTCTTTTGTGGCTGGCTTCTTTCATTTAGTATAATGTTTTCAATGTTCACCCACGATATAGCAGGTGTCAACACTTCATTCCTTTCTACGGCCAAATAATATCCCATTGTACAGACAGGCCACATTTTATTTGTTCATTCATGAGCTGAAGAACACCTGGATATTTCCACTTTTTTGGCTATTGCAAATAATGCAGCTACAAACATTTATGTACAAGTTTTGCCTCGAATTTTCTTGGGTGTATACTTAGGAGTAGAATTGCTGGATATCTGTTTAATCTTTTGAAAAACTTACAGAGCTTTTTCCAATGATGTTGTACCATTTTATGTTCCAGTATATGAGGGTTTCAGTTTCTGCACATCCTCACAAATATTTATTATTATTTGCTGTATTTTTACTATAGCCATTCTGGTGGATGTGAAATGGTGTGGTTTGATTTGCATTGACAGTCACTGATATCGAATATCTTTTCAGATGCTTATTAGCCACTTGTATATCTTTTTTTTTTTTGAGAAATGTGGATTAAAATCCTTTGCCCATTTTAAAAAATTGTGGTAAAATAAACATAAAATTTACCATCTTAACCATTTTTAAGTGTACAGTTCAATGGTATTAAAAATGTCCATAGTGTTGCCTTTGCCCATTTTTAATTGGGTTGTCTTTTTATTGCCAAGTTATAAGAGTTCTTTAGATTTTCTAGATACAGTTTCTTATCAAATATATAACTGCAAATATTTTCTCCCACTTTTTGGGTTGTCTTTTACTTTCTTTGGGCTGTCTTTTCCCTTTGAAACACAAACGTGTTTAATTTTTGTCCAATATATTTATTTTTTCTTTTCTTTTTTGTCACTTGTGCTTTTGGTGCCATATCTAAAAAGGTTTTGTTTAACCTAGAGTCATGAAGATTTGCTCCTCTATCTTCTTCTAAGAGTTAGTTTTAGCGTTTACATTTAGGTCTGTATTTCATTTTGAGTTGATTTTTGTGTATGGTGTGAGGTAGGGGTCTAACGTCATCCTTTGCATGTAGCTGTCCAATTGTCCCAGTACCATATATTGAAAGGACTATTCCCCTCCCCCCACTGAATGGCCTTCGCATAGGCTAAGTGTGTCAAGTGTGTCAGGAGAGTCCACCTGAGGGGTGACATAGTCTCAATCCTTTGTAAGACATTTTGGTGAAAGCTCTTGAGCCTGTTGATTTTCAATCATGTTATCCATGATAATAGCATGGTAATCAGAGAGCCCAGCAAACTATTCAAGAAACTTTTACCAAAAAATATAAGGGACCACTGTTCTCATGCAACCCAAACCATCTCCTAGCAATAGGGAGATGATTTATAGCTCTTGTGTATAGATCTAGAAATAAGAAGACAGGGAGTCCCTGTGCCATAGAACTGTACCTACTTAAGTTCAACAGGATTTATAAATAGCAAAAACAGATAACAAATGTGAAGCACAGTCAGCCCTGCCTATGTGGAGATGAAGCAATCCCTATCACCAGATTCTTAGTGATCTAGAGCTCAAATAACTTCCTAGCTTCTACAGATAGATTACAAAGGGCTATATAACAAGAAGATTAAATGAGAACGGGACCAATGAAATTCCTCTCAGGTATAATTATTCGCTATAAGTTTTAAGGGGAAAAATTCATTTTTAACATTTATTGCATGTGTCTTTAAGAACAAGCACAGTGATGTGCACACACAAAGGGGAATAAAAAATGAATAAGACAAGGTTTTCAGAGAACCCAGTCAGGCTTTAACACATCATTGCAAGCAGGTTGTGGGTGAAATAATTTAAAGAAAACTTCAAGCTCCAAATGTGACTGTGTTCGCATAGCCTGAGCGAGGTAACGTCTTTATTACCGCTGCAATACGCGTTTCCTAAAGCGGCACACAGGAAGACAGTCTGCATGCAGTGGTGCCTAATGCAGCCCAAGCCCAGATCAATGCCTGAGCGAAAGGTGCTCTGCTCAGAATGACAGGCATAGCAGAGATGGGTTTCCTTTCCTTCTTTCTTGAATCATTTCTTAACAATGACTTGCACTAAGATTTGGCCCGAGATCTCTTTTTCTCTCGTGTTCTCTTCCTTGGACAAATAGTACAATTTCTCAAAAGAAAAGAAAAATCACCTGCCAGCTTTTATCACTCTCAAGAAGCAAAGCAAGGCGACCACATCGGGGAAGCAGCGCCCCCTGCCGAATGCGGCTGCCTCCTGCCGCCCGGTCCTCTGCTAAGCCCGCGGCCGCCACCAGGGGGCGCTGAAGACACGCGCAGGGTGACTGCACGCCCGCCCGAAACCCCTGGGGGAGCGAGTACTCACTGGCCAGGGTGGTGATGGTGCTGACGTTCCCATCGCCGCCCACGCTGTTGTGGGAATAAAAAAAGAAAATGAAGGCTGAAAAAGCCAGCGACGCCAAAACACCCCAGAACACCCCGGACGCTACCAAGACAGACCTTTCACCTTTTGAGAAACACCCTGGGGGCTTGGAGCCTGTCTTTTACGTATGATTTCCATAAAAAACCTTGAAAAACAAACCAGAACACAGCAATGCCTCTCCCCTCTCCCCACAAACCTGAACATCTAAACAAGAAATGGTCATAGCTGACTTTGTCGATTTTAACTTGGAATGTTGACATGGGGGCAGGGTTCCAAGTGGACCCCCTTCTCCCCAGCTCCAGTCCTGCCCCACTAGCCACTGGCGGGGCATTGCTATTATTACTGACAACACAGTGAAAAGGGTTGCCCTGGCCGTTCTCTTCCCCTTGGGCTTGGGCAAACCTGTTTTCCAAGGGTGTCTGAATCTAGAGAGCAACCCAGCTTCCGAGCACTTCTAAAATTCTGGGGAAATAAAAGTTTCTAGGCATGAAAACATGCAACATTCCAGAGTTTATTGGATTCCCTGCTTTCCATATTCCTTCTTTCTCTGCCAAGTACGCCTGGGAACATTTAAAAGGCTCTCAAAGTGGGTGGGGTTTAACTCTGTGCAGCATCACGAGCAACAATGCCAGGGATTCAACACCAGCTGGTGCCAGGGAGGCCGGATTCCAGGCTGAGGAACTCCCAGACCTGTGCTCTCCTGCGTTCAAGGCTCAGAGGTCAGGCCCTGCTCCTCGGATTTGATAACAGCCAGGGCAGGAACAAGCCTGCTGAATGGGAAGCAATGGGGGAAGCCACCATGCTAGGTGCCAACAAGCATCTACTCTACTTCTGGCTCTTATACCACCTGGCTGTGTGATCTTGGACAGGTTACTTGTCTTCTCTGAGCTTTGCTTCCTCATCTGTACACCGAAGGCCCTTTAATAAGGATGCCAGCTGCCATTTATACCTACTTTGTGCCAGGCACTGTGCTGGGGAGCTTCAGTTCTCTCTAATCCTCGTGACAGTGCTCAGGCAGTATTATTATCCCCGTGTCAAAGATGAGGAGACAAGCTCAGAGAGGTTAAGCAACTTGCCCAAAGTTGCACAGAGCTGGGCAGCCAGGGTTCCAGACACACTCTGGTTCCAAAGACCCACTGCCTCCTTCTGGGATTCGTTCCCACAGGGAGAAATGGAAGCCAGAGAAGCTTTTCCACCCCAAACGTTTACGCAGTGTCTCCCCCAGACTCCTCCTGGTCCCAGGCCCCGCTTTGGGGAATGCAGTGGTTTGGGAAAGCTGATGAATACCTTCCTCGAATCAAACCCAGAAGTTTCTCATGAAAAGTACGAGGTGGTTTTCTCCGATGCCCGGGGGTCCTCCCGGCCCTGCCAGGAGGGGTCTTCAGGGCCTGCCACCCCCACACTCACCTCCAGGACAGGCCTCGATACTGAGTCAAGACGTCCAAGACGTCCGCAGGCTTGGCTCCGGCCCCATTGCCTGCCTGAAGGGAGCAACAGGGCGATGAGTCTCCCTGTCCACTGGCCAGAGGCCTGCACCTGCTCTGCCCGGACCGCCTGGGCGCTCTCCCGGACCCAGAGTCCGCACAGCTCCAGTTTCAGAGCCGAGCGGTAGCTCCTGCTGGGACCCCTGGCCACCCACTGCTCGGTGCACCTGAGCAGCCCTGCCCGGACCAGCCAGCTGCTTGAGGATGAGGCCGCAGCGTCCATTTTCCAAGAGGACACATGTCGGGGCCTGTTTTCTTCATTTAAAAAAAGTTGTGAAGTCTGACACAAAGGAAGCATATCACAGTTCTTTTATATCACTGTGCCTCACGCAGACGGCTGAAAGGGTAGCCATCAAATAAAAGGCCGTGTGCCTACCCCTGGGCTGACAAAAGAGCAGGGTCTCTTAAAACCACCATCTGGACCGTCTCTGCAGGTGTCCGTCCCTCGCCTAAAGCTGCCATTGCTGAGCAAGGCCATGCCTAAGGGCACGCCAAAAGGTCTCCCAGGCAGCCTGGGGAGGAGGATGGGCCTCCAGGAGAGCCCCCCCTCCCGTCGTCCCCCCCCCCGCCCCCCTGCCGGGGTCCCTGCTCTGGTGCCCAATTCCTCTGCCCCTGCAGGTGTGTCACACTCAGTGCGGCCTCCCCAGGGAATCCTGAGCAGCGCTGGGATTCCTGATGACTCCTTGTTCCCAGAGCATCTTCAAGGGGCCACGGCAGGCGGGGGGAGGGGGG